AAGGGTAGACTAAAAGTCGACAAATTTGGTGTATTTTTTTCATATCATGTTAAATATTTAAAAATATAGTTGAAAAACTAAAAAGTGTCGTTTAACGTGAGGGGCATGTATTTTGGTAGGTACACTATATACATAAGTATTCTAAATCAATTTATTATATATATTATATTTTTTATGGTTTTCAGTGACAAACGAGTAGACAGACCATCTGATGGAAAGCAGTACGTGTCGCCCATAACACCTACGGTTCATGCACTTAGGTTTTATGTAACAAAAATCCGGAACCGTAGGTGCATTGTCACTGTGAGGACTAAGATCATAATATGCCTCTTGCCTGTAATTTCGCTGGCTATCTTATCCTTCAAACCGGAACACAATAATGTAATCATTGTTGCTTTGCGGGAGAAATAGATAAGGGGTTGGTACCCATCCAGTTGGACTCCTCAGGCTTGATAGAGTCCTACCACCGGTAAAAACAAATCAATATATATATATATATATATATATATATATATATATATATATATATATACTGTAGAATATGTTTATAGACCACTAGCGACTCACTCTCGCTTCGCTCGGGTCGTTCGTTCCCTAGTTTGCTTCCCCATACAAACTTTCATTTTTATCCCCTTAAGGGATGATTGCCGGGATAAAAACTATCCTATGTCCTTCCCAGGGTCTCAAACTATTTTCTTACCATATTTCATCTAAATCCGTTCAGTAGATCCAGAGATTACAACCTCACAAACTCACAAACTTTACCTCTTAATAATATTAGTATAGATTGTGAGCGTTTTTTTCTTCCATTGGACGTTTTCAGCATTTGAATTTATAATATATGTATTATGTAATCGTATTTTCTTTAGTTCAGTATAATTTTCAGTTAAGTGTTGTTGCTTGCTATGGATAAAGTTACATTTAAAATAAACGATATTGAATATTCAGGTACGATTTTGTGTGTTGTGTTATGTTAGTTTTTTTTTCTGTAGATACATTTATTATTTTACCAGAATTAAATAAAAAAATTTGAAGTATCATTAAAAAAATAATAGGTATAACCTATACTAAATTGCTATCACTTATATAAATACACAGAAACAAATTAAAAAAATGTAGTACCTTTGCTGTCAAAAGGAAAAGTACGCAAAAACGGCCGTGTCAACTGTTATCTTTGTGTAAGGCTGAGTTTATTTTTTGACTAGAACATGTGAAATTGTATGTTCATAGTCGGTTTATTGTATACATTTTGACTAGTATGAAAGTATGAAAATACTTATTAATGTAAAGAACATTTAAGTAAATAAAAACTTTTTAACAAAAGAATAAAAACCGACTTCAAACAAAAGCACTAAAAAGTAAAAAAATAACTAATTGGTAGTTTTCATTTACTATACATACCTAATCAAATATTTTCGAATTCATCGAAGAAGAAAAATTGCCCAAATCGGTTAATAAATGGCGAAGTTCTGAGGTAACAAACATAAAAAAAATATATTAAAAAAAATCAGGCGAATTGAGAACCTCCTCCTATTTGAGGAAGTCGGTTGAAAAGATGAAGTATGTTAGTATTACTGAAAAGCAGATTTGGATATTAGACATATATTTTACAAAATTATACGCCTCCTGTATTCACAAAGCTAAACACCAAATAATATAAAGTCTTCGCCAAAGCTGCTATATCGCATCAAGTTCTGGATTCAAGGCAGCGATAACAACAGGACGTGCGCCTTTTTTAAGAGCACTTAGAAATATGTTTGCTTTATAGTGAATTCCTGTTTTGGCAGAGTGAAATTTCCCTAACATAAGATTTAGCAGTAAAGTATAGCATTTTAACGTAATTCAAAAGGGTTCTCAGTCTTCTTTATTAACCAACTTCCAAAAGCAGGAGGTTCTCAATTCATGGAATCTTTTTTTTGTGTATGTTCACCGATTCGAAGATGCCTGCACCGATTTGGATTTTTTTTTGTTTCAAAGGGTATACTTCCCATATAAATTTTATCGAAATCATTTTACCATTTTCGAGCGATTTAAAAAAAATCACTAATAAATTATTTTTTTAAATAAATTTCTTAATTGAATATGTTCTTAAAAAACTTTCTTGTTAGAAATTAACTGCTTATTATGTCTACACTAAAAATGGAAAAATTAAAACTTTAAATAAAATAATTGAAACCGATTTCCAGGCACTAAAATGTAAAAATAACTAAATAGGGGTTTTCAGTTAAAATAAATACCTAATCAGATGTCATATTACAAAGAAAAGTATTTTATAAATAAGTGTTACTGTATGCACACTTTTTGTGTAGATATTGATGAAAGCTATTAGTGGATGACGAAGTCGAATTAATACCCAAAGATATTTTTTTCAGGATTCTTATGCAATAGGCTAATATGAATCAATACACCTTTGCTATCCTATCATATAATATTATATAATCCGTTCAATATTATAAATGGGAAAGCTTGGAAGGATGGATGTTTGTTACTCAATCACGCCATAACGGCTGAAGAGATCTAAATGAAATTTGGCACAAAGAAAGATTATAGTTTGGAATAGCACACTGGCTACTTTTATTACGGAATAATGTACGGTTCCCGTGGGATAGATTTGTTTTTGTTTTTCACTATTTGAAATATTTTGACGGTGAACGTACAACATAATACGTATAACATTCTACCAACGTTGATTTGAGACAACGCTGGCTGGCTAAGTACAAGTGTCTAAGGAGCATTAATATTGCTATGCGATATTGCCTTATCAAACTTATTTATATTACAGTTATTTACCATGTAAATATTAAATTTAACTGTAAATAAGATACACAAAAAATATATTAAAGGTATAAACACACTGCAGGGGTACCTTAACAGTTATTATATAGACCGACCAATAAAACGTGAGCCATGCATTAGGTATATTAACGGTAAAAACGTTACAATCCGCCAGTCTAGAAATTTTTAGGGGCTAACGTTTGTGTATAGTCTTTAAGAAGGTATTATAAAAACATGTTATGTACTAGCGACTCACCCTCGCTCTGCTCGGGTTCGTCCCTAGTTACGTTTTAAAGTTTAGTATAGATTTCTCAGAGATGAGATATTTTTCCGCAGTATTCTATATGTTGACCCGGATAACCAGCTATCATCATACCAAATTTCATTAAAATTTGTCAGGTGATTTACTCGTGATGCGGTCACAGACAAACAGACTCTGCCTCTGTACCGAAATAATGACTACTTCAATAAGATTTCCCAAAAATACTTAATGTATAGATTTGACTCATTTAGAATTTTATTATATGTATAGATTATGTCAAAATTTTGTGTATTATGTTGTAATTATAGTAGCATAGATAAATAAGGGTATAATAATTTATTTAAAGAAAAATACATTAAAATTACAAAATATATAAACATTTGTTTTCTACATTTAATTATCACTGTACAAGTGGTGTCCGCGGAGAATCGTGGCAAGAATGCTAGTTCCATTTACCTGCTGAATGATAATGCCGATTCTTTGGGCGAAAAAAGAGGCAGTTCTCTTGTCACCCGTTGAGTAAAATATTAATTTAAAAGTTGTGCAATTTACATTAATTTTATTGATTTAATTTAACTGTAGTGAAGACCGACCCTTATCGTGAAGAAAAGAAGAGAAATTTCTACAAAAAATTCATTTTGCCAACATTTTTTATAGTAGTTCTGTTACTAACATCGTATACGGTCGTATAAGTTCGTATATGTACATTGTACATATACTCGTACATATTTACAAATAGGGATGTAGAATACATAGGTTATATAAAGTTCTTGGAGACGATTTTATTTTAAGCAACAAAATTTTTCTTTTTATTTCAGTTGGGAATGAGGTAGATTCTAACATTACTCTTCTGGACTTTATCCGGAATAAGTTAGAGCTTCGTGGCACCAAGTATATGTGCTTGGAGGCTGGTTGTGGAGCTTGTATCATCAGTGCTAAAAAATACCCAGGCGATACTCCACAAAGTGTTAATTCGGTAAACGATATCAAAAAATCTATTCTAAACAAATATAATATTTTAAATATTTTAGATTTCTTTCGGATTATATTATCAGTACTAAAAATACCTAGGCGATACTCCACAAAGTGTTAATTTGGTAAATGATATCAAAAAATCTTTTCCAAACAAATAATATATTTTAAATATATTCGGATTTTTTCGAAGGTTTCTTTTTTATTTTTGGTCTGATTTTAAAATGCCGGGAACTAAAAATCAAAATAAATCGCATAAAATCCGGAAGACAATTTTTTTAAATGTCAAATTTTCCCATAAATCTAAGAAATAACATTTAAAATAGACATTCTAAACTTAAATATAATGCCAATTCTTCTTCGATTCTTAGGCTCAGGTTCTTCAGCAATGCATGTTGGAAAAGCATGCATTGCTTTTTTCGCTATTTATGTGATCTAGTGTTCTATCAAGAAATTCGACTATAATCATTATGGAAAATTTGATAGAATTTCCCTATCTATCATCATATCATTATTTATTGTCTATCGTGAAGTTCGTTTTATATATTTCACGATAATTTATTTACATGTTATTATAATTATAATTTATGTATGACAGATATTTGCTGAAAGTTTGTATACTTATTAAATTTAAAAAATCGTAAAGGAAATAAAAAGAGAAAATAAAATACATTTGCTTATTTAAGAAATACTGAATATATAATAATAAATAAGAGTACACGATTAAATTAGGAATAATGTTGACTGCATTATAGGTATATCATATTATAAAATCATTGTAACTCCTACAGTTAGTTCTAAGCACTTAGTAAGATTTTTTTCACAAGCGTCTAAGTCGACTCTTTTAGTTCTAATGATATAACTTAGTCTTTGCATAATTACATCCATTTAGAAAAATGGTACATAATTGGTAAAAATATAGCCTAAAATATACCTGAAATTCATCTTTTTTTTTTAAATTGATCAAAATGAGAATATTTTATGACAGTGTATGGTGTCCATAACATCATGTCAAGATTGGGATATAACCACAATAGAGAAGATTGGCAACCGTATGATTGGTTACCACCCCATACAATATACCCTTGCTAAGAATAATGGATCTCAGTGCGGATACTGCTCTCCAGGATGGGTCATGGCTCTGTACAGGTCAGTAAACTTACACATTACTAGCAAGAGCGCTATCAGAGGAATGATGAATTGAGGGGCCTACTACTACGTATTGAGCCTATTTCCTCACGTACCTTCAGGGGGATCAGGCTTCTTTTAAGCTCTTTTCATGAAATCCAAGATATATATTGTTAAATTAATATAATATTTTAGCCTGTTGAAAACCAACAAGATGACAATGCTAGAAATAGAAAAGGCCTTTGGGAGTAATATATGCCGATGTACAGGATATAGACCTATTTTGGAAGCTTTTAAAAAGTTCGCATCAGATGCTCCACATACTCTTGAAATCCCTGATATTGAAGACTTAAAGATATGTGACAAAACTGGTAAAACTTGTTATATGAAAAATTGCGAAGATTCCGACTGGTGCTTCATTAATAAAAATGAATTATATAATAAAGTTAAACATATAAATTTAAAAGATCATAGAGATTGGTATAGGGTTGAAGTACTCTCTGATATATTTAAAATATGGCAAGAAAGGGGTGAAAAGTCTTATATGTTGGTCAATGGAAACACGGGAAAAGGTAATTTATAAAAACCTTGTAAAAACGTTTCTTATTTATTATAATGGTGATAATTGTTGTCATAATTCTATGTGGAAGGTAAACACAAGTCAAGATACTAGTATGAATTTTAAATCTAAATCGTACAAATATGTATATAATATAACTACAAATAGTATTGACATCGAATAATGTTTTAAATGATAAATACAAAGACAATATATTTTCATATTTTACTAATTATTTCAGGTGTTATTCCAATACTGAAATATCCTGAAATCCTTATAGATATTTCGGGACTATCAGAACTAAAAGGCTTCTACATTGACCAAAACTTAGTTCTTAGAGCTGGAACTACGCTCACAGATACAATAAACATATTTGCACAAGTAGCTAGTCATGATAACTTCAAATACTTAAACATTTTAAACGAACATTTAAATTTGGTAGCTCATATACCTGTAAGAAATGTGAGTACTGGGTATAGCTTACTTTTACTAATGTTGTATAAGCTGAAATTTAGAAAAGCAATATTATGACTTAAGCAGTATGCGTTACTTGTTAAGTATATTTTTATTTTTACTATATCACCTTTTATTTTTAGTTGGGATCCATAGCTGGGAACTTAATGCTTAAACACCAAAATCCTAAATTCCAATCTGATATATACCTTCTACTGGAGACTGTCGGAGCGCAGCTTGTTCTAAGTAAGTTGAAACATTTTAGATTTTATTAAAATTATATAATTTTTATAAAATCTATAATATATGACCTCACTGTCATGTTAAACGTGAGCGCGTAACCTGAAACCGATCATCAGGCGTATGTCTAAAGATCTGCACGTAATGTGAATGACATTACAGATTGTATGAAGTGTCCCTAAGTAATGTCGCTTTATAGTTTATGTTATCTATCTACATTTGGTTTTGTAATTCATTCATATTGACAATTATAATTTTGTGTAATTTTGTTTTCAACTGCTCAGTTTCCCTAAAGATTAATTTATTATTATCGGTTTTCCAAAAAGATTGTCACATGTGCCGAACTATGGATCTATTAGCATAAGTCTTATCTGATGAAACATTGGAAAGGTTTCAATTAGCTGACTGTTTTAAAGAATACGCTTTGAAGAAAATACGCTTTTATGTGTTTGGTGGAGTTTTCAAGGTTTGATTTATTATGATGATAGTTTCTAATGATTATATTTGTACCATAAACACAGATTTCTATGTTCATCAATCAGAGAAGGTTTTAGGAAAGTTTAAGGCAAGGTTCTTTAATAAATGATATTAAATAAATCAGTATGGGTAAACAGGATGGTGTCCGACCACATATCGCGAAAACGACTGAATAGAAAATTAAGGAACTAGAAACCTTTGAATTCTTGCCTTATCTTGCGTTTAGTCCTGAACTAGCACCGTCGGATTATTATCGTTTATAAATGGCACATTTTCTTATGGGACACCCTTTTTTTTTTAACGTTGGGAAATGCATTTACGCACGACGTGTGGGACTCACCGGCGTAATACAACCAGTACTACCCACTAAAACCCAACAAAACCTTCCCCCGTCTTAATGGGGCGTCGCAGGATCGCTTACGCATTCAACTACGACGCCCCGACGGCAGGTCTGCCAAAGCAGACCACCACAACCATGGGGTTGCTCCAAGGTCCACTCTGCTATCAGAGAAGTACCAGGAGCAACCCGCAAGGTACACCGCCCCCCGAAGAGGGCCACCTCCTACCGCCCACCGAAGTGGGCAACCTCCCTGTGCGTTTCTTAGCTTCGCTACTACTACTGAGCCCCCCCACCACGACAAGGTGAACGCACGTTGGGGGGGTTCTTATGGGACACCCTGCTATTTTAACGATAATATGGAAAAGTTTTATTTATAATATTATTTTGCAGTCTTTGGTCACGGATCCAGGAAAACACTAAGCATGCATGACTTTCTTATAGAAGATATGACGGGAAAGGTTATTTTTTATGTACTGCTACCACCATTGAGTAAAGAACACAATGTAGTTACTTTCAAGGTAAGACCAAGTCTTTGTTGCTCTATATATTACATTTACGAATAATAAATACGAAATATTTTGAACGGTGGCATTTTAAGCATTCATTTTGTTTTATATAACTAAAATATATTTTTAATACAAAATGCTGTTTGGACTGTTCGGAATGAAGCTATATTAGAAACCCATGTTTATACTTGTGTCTTTGATATTATTGAGTCTGAAGTAATCGCAATGCAATGTAGTTGTTTTCAATTGCGAACATCTTATAAGCTTTTTTTCTGGCGAACTTATGTACCGTACGTTAGTAAAGGTTATACTGCTCACAAATGTTTCATTTAATATTATCATCTTTTGACTACTAATATTAATTTCTCTATTTCTTCTATTTTAGATAATGCCACGAACGCAGAACGCACATGCAATAGTTAACGCCGGTTTCAATTATAAGCTAAATGATGATAATACAGTATTAGATTGCAGAATAGTTTATGGTGGTCTTTCACCATCATTTAACAGAGCTTTTAAAGCAGAACAATATTTAATAGGGCAGCCTTTATTTAAAAATGAAACATTACAAAGCGCTCTAAAAGTATTATTTATAGAAGTAAAAGTGACTGAACATTTACCGGAGTACCCTATCGAGTATAGAAAACAGCTGGCTTTGAATCTATTTTATAAGGTAAATTTTGATTATCTATGTAGGTAAGCGTAATTCGTAGCGTAAAATAATACTCTACGACTAATTTTCCAGGGTCTGCTTTATTTATACTCTTCAGACAAATTACATTACCGTTATCGTTCCGGTGCTATTAAGTTACATGAAACGCGGCTGTTATCAAAGGGATTGCAAGAATTTACCACTGACCCCAAAATTTGGCCTTTAAATCAACCTATAGCTAAACTAGATGGATTGGTGGGTGTAAATTATATTTAAATGAAATATTGTAGAATATGGAATTGTCATTACAAATATACCATTATTAATGACAATTGTTGCGTAGGATCTCTGACTAAAAGTTGCATGCGTATAGAATCTAACAATATTAAGAGTGCTTGAACCACTCAAACAAAAATATCTTTTTTCTTTTAATTCAATTCAATTTTCTTGTTAATCGCTTTAAAACGTGTCAGCTTAGTACAGATTCACCGTCTAATCAAATTCTAATATTGTTAATATACTACTACCAATATGATAAAGGTTAATTTAGTCCTTTAATTACATAGGAGCCTATCATATCAATAAAGAGTTTTTTTGCATAAAAACTAGACTACTTTTAATAAGCATAAAAGCAGCTATGACATTTTAGATTCAATGCGCTGGTGAATCAAAATACACTGAAGACTTACCATCGCTTCCCAACGAAGTGTTCGCTGCATTTGTTCTAACAACTGTTCCTCTTGGTAGGATTGAAAGTATTGACCCTAGTAAGGCTTTGGTAAGTTTTTGTTATTTATGTATTTTTTTAAATAAAAGAGGGTATTATGAGATGTTTTACTACGTAGTAAAGAAAATGTAATATAAATTAAAACGTTTAATGTGTTTCTAATGGTTTTGCGAAAGCATGCGAATGACATATAAAACAATTAGAATCAATATTTACCGTTATAAATGATTACAGGAAGAATGTGGCGTCATAGCCTTTTATACAGCATCTGATATTCCAGGAGTAAATAGCTTTGTTCTACCGAATGGATCGTCATTTAAAAACGATGAAGAACTTCTTTGTAATGGAGAAGTTAAATTTTACAATCAACCTTTAGGCATTATTGTAGCAGAAACTTACGAAATAGCGGAAAAAGCAGCTAATTTAGTGCATGTTACATACTGTAATGTAAGAGAGCCTATAATAGATATAAAAAAAGCCAAAAATGATCCAAATAGAATACAACTTGTTCAGTCTTTTAAACCTACAAGGACTGGAACTGACATAATAAAAATTATAACAGGTGAAACCGCGATATATTCACAATATCACTTTTGTATGGAAACCTTGGTTTGTGTAACTGACATAACTGAAGAAGGGTTGAAAATTTATGCTGCTACACAATGGGCAAGCCTTATACATGGTGCTACTGCAAGAGCATTAAACATAAATCAAAACAGGTATAACATAAACTACATAAAAAAATTTAATAAAAAAATACACAATTTTTTATACCCGTATTTTAATAGAACGAATAATAAATAAAGGAGGCTGTTGCTATTCGTCCGATAATCGGATGAATAAAAAATATATTATGAGTACGACTATTGTTGGCTTGTACGAACATTTACCACTTTTTTTATTTTCTAATGTAAAACAAATGATTTTTAGGTGCAAGGGTACCTATATTAAAAAAAAAACATTAACCTATCGAGATGAAAACTTATTCTTTTAAATCCCAAAGATTTTTAACTTCAAGAATTTTTATGTGTAAAAAGTATGTCCATAAAGTTGACCCCACAATTTTAGAATTTCTAAGAAATAGAAAATGTGCTGAAATGTGCTCAGTGTGTGCTATTACGTGCCGCTACGGAATTTTTTTTATTCAAAAAATAAATTTCTATGAGGAGGTCCTCTTTTTCAAGTCCCGTTAGCCATAATGATGACTCTGCAATTTTTTATTAATTATGACGATTTCCATACAGTTAGTTTGCGGAGCTAACGAGACTAGAAAATAGGGGCCTAATCATAGAAATTATATTTATTTTTTTTGAATAATTTTTTTAGGGACGAATAGACACTCCGTTTAATATTACTGCAGCTTTCCTAATAATATTATAAACGCTATTCATTTTACTCAAGTGCATGTATTCTAAATATTGTGTTAGTAACATAACTACCCTATGTATTTGACATCTTATTATAATATAACGATGGCACAGAAGATGATATTATACATAAACTTCGTAATATCTTCATAATCTTATTCGTGAATAGTGAATCATGTTGCCTTCGCTCGGGTGCGTTCCATGGTGCCTTTTCAAATTGATACAAAAACATCAACTTTTCTTTATGTATGTATATACAATATACATATATTTTGACATATGATCAAAGTCATCTTTTACTGAATACTTACAGTACTTACAGTATTGTTACTCCAGGTCGCAGTCATTATGTCGACGGGTGAAAGGCTATTTGGTTTAAGCGACATTTTTTTAACTTTGCAGTAGAAGCAATTTAATGATTTTTTTTTTCAATAAAAATTCGTTAAAATGGCTCTCCTGTAAAATTAAGAAAATGTCGCTTAAACCAAATAGCCTTTTACCCGTCGATGTGTACTATATTTTGTCCAAATCTATCCAGCTGTTTCATACATTTCACATTTCATACATCAGTAGTGCTAAGAGATATTTAATATTAATCCTGTATTTTTTAGAATTGATGTGTATGTTCGTCGAGTTGGAGGTGCATATGGTATAAAAATATCCAGAGTTTCGCAAGTAGCAGTGGCGAGCAGTCTAGTCTCGTATAAATTGAATAAACCCTGCCGCTTTATTCTACCTCTTACAACAAACATGAGATCTATTGGCAAACGATTGCCATGTTCTAATAATTATGAGGTGAGTCTCTTGTAGTGAAACAATAATCTATTAATATTTTATTATAACAATAATTTTAAGAATAATAATAATAAGCCCGCATTGTAACTTGTGGCGAGCTGTTGGTGAGTGGCCACGGACTTAAGATCTCCCGAGAAAAACAACATCTGTCTTCCACCTTTGGCTTGCCTTCATTGGCCGTCCAGAGTGGAGTACCAGAGCCAAGTGCTCGAAAGGGTGGAAGTACTCAATCTGCGTAATAACGAAGAAACCCGCTCAAGAGTACTCTCGCGATGGTGAAACCGGTGCACACCTCTCGACACCCATAGCCAACCACGCCGATATTGCGCTCAAGGCAGTATGCCGCTTTGTTGGGGCCCACTTAGTGAGAGGCGAATCACCGCCCGCCAAATATTCAATCTTAGACTCTTGAGCAGGCGGAAGTCCAATTGTATCATCTACTAGCTCAGTTTTTAGTCTATCCAAACTCAATTCCATAGCTCTATTTAGTTTTCCATATTTTCCATAGTCCCTACGCATTATCCGGACATCTTTGGGCAATTCCCTTTGGGTTACTCAGAGATGGATCCCGACAGATGCATCATATTAAACACACATGAATCTCTTAAGGGGCCTCTGTGTGTTGGACCTGTGTCCCCACGTAAGCCTTCCAAAAGACCGGGCTCCTTCGAGTCCGTGAATTTTAAAGAGATTGAAATAATAATAATAAATACTCTTTATTTTACACCCATAAAAAGGTAAGCAAAAATTGTACAAGTAGTATATAGTAGAAGAGATAACAAAAGGCGGCCTTATCTCTTCTAGGCAACCTTAAGGTATTGGAATTGACAAACTGTAAGAGGGAAATCGTGTGGACAATATAGCATTAGTATTATTCATATTATACTTTATTATTAAAAGTTTTTATTTATCTCATTATTAGTCCATATCTTAGGTTACAAATTAAACAAACGTATATCTAATATCATAAAAAAACATAGTTAAGCATTTTTTAATATTATCTACCTTGTAATATACAGATTGCAGTAAATAAGGACGGCGTTATACAATATCTGAATCACAATTTATATAGTGACAATGGTTATGTTGTTAGTGAGCCCTTACTGAATTTGGGTCTCGATGTGTATTCTAATGCGTACAAAAATGATACATGGAGTCACAAATCTTATAATGCTGTTACGGATACAGCGTCAAATAGTTGGTTTAGATCACCTGGTAAGTAAATTATCTTGTAAAATTAATTTATAATGGAAATTACCCTCTTGCGTAGAATCAGTTACGATGATCATGAATGTAGTTTAAGCACAATACTAATGTTACATTTCTATGACCTATCCCGACGGACATTATTTTGTGTAACTTGTACAATAAAGTTTGTAATCTTTTCGTACAAAAATCTTATAAAAAAGCAATGTCAGTTTTTCCCAATTTTACTTTTTTTTAATTTTTGTAATTATAATTTAATAACGATAATATATAGGCCACTAAGATGTGATACGTTTACGAAAGAACAGTATAGATTATTATTTGTTTTTCATGGTCTAGTTAGGTTGTGCATCATGATTATATATACAATCAGTTTGGACGAATTCTTCTGTTAAGGACATAGTATTAAGAAACGTGTTATTTAAAATCTCTATTTACAAGAAAAACAATGAAACTAAAAATGTGCATAGAAGTCTAAATATGTATACAAAACAAATGCATTATTAGTTATGACTGGACAAGGCATTTCCTTTAAATGGCTATACTAATTCTTTGGGCAAAAATTAACCAGCACTGTATCACGGATAGAACCATAGAAATTAATAAAAAGCTATATTATTATTTTTTATTTCTAGGAACTTTGGAACATGTGGCAATGGCTGAAACATTGATGGAAAGAATAGCTTATGAACTCAACTTAGATCCCTTAAATGTTCGTTTAGCAAATTTGGATACTGAAAAATATAGTGACTTGCTTGAAATGCTAGACACATTAAAACTTAAATCAGAATACGAAGAAAGAAAACTTAAAGTTGATAATTTTAATTCAGAAAATCGATGGAAAAAACGAGGATTAAGGTTCTCATTTCTGCGATGGACGCCAAAAAGTCGTCAATATTTTGATATAAACTTGTCAGTATACAGTAACGATGGTACTGTTTCTATAAGTCATGGTGGTGTAGAAATAGGACAAGGAATTAATACGAAAGCTATACAGATATGCGCATATCTCCTTAAAATACCTGTTGAAAAAGTAATAATAAAACCTAATGACACATTTGTGGCTCCTAATAATATTCAAACGGGTGGAAGTACGACAAGTCAAAATATATCGATTGGTGTACGAAAATGCTGTGAACAGTTATTAAAAAGGCTGGAACCTGTTCGAATTGCTCTACATAACCCAACATGGGAGGAATTGATTAGGCGAGCTTTTCAATTAGAAATAGATTTACAAGTGCATGCTTTTGTTAATTCTACAGATGCGCAAAATTTTGATGTGTATGGTATTACGTTAGCGGAAGTAGAAATTGACGTACTTACGGGAGAGTCAGAAATAATAAGAGTTGACTTGATTGAAGATGCGGGACTTAGTGTAAGCCCCGAACTTGATGTTGGCCAGGTAAATTTAATTACAATTTCACTAAAATACTCTAAAATTTGATAAAACTTGGTTAAAATCATATTTCGTACATTTATTTCTATAATTTATATCATTAGGTGGAGGGTGCCTTCATAATGGGCGTTGGTTACTGGACATCGGAACGACTAGTATATGAACCTACTAGCGGGGAACTACTCACTAATCGCACATGGGAATATTGGGTGCCGCAAGCACGTGATATTCCTCAGGACTTCAGAATATACTTCAGGAAAGGATCTTTTAGCAACGAGAGTATTTTTGGAGCTAAAGGTACTTTTATTATTTATGATTATGATGTGTACATATTTTACATTCAGCATCAATTATTTCGTTTTTCGCATCATTTAAAAATATAAATTAAATTTTAGTCACGGGTGAACCAGCCACATGTATGGGAATAGTGGTATCCTTTGCACTCCGTCATGCTATAGCTGCAGCACGTTTGGAAACCGGTATATCTCCAACTCAATGGTTTCAAATAGGTAAGATATCCAATCTCCATGTAATATTTTCTGTTCGTATGTTTAGCATTATTGCGTGCTTACTTAATTACAAACCAAATGAAAATCCTACATTTGATCGCAAACAGCTGATGTCATAAGACTTTGAAATAAAACGGATTTTATTTTTTGGAACATTTATATTTAATCGCTAAGTGTAATTTGTTTTATAATTTTCTAAACTACGCAGCTTTATACTAAACATAATGTTCTGTAATTTTTTTCCTCGGTCTGTAAACCGTTTTTTTAGTAGTTATTGACAAGCTTGTTGACTTTCAACTACTGGGCGAACACTAGAATAGATTTTTTTAACATACATTATATTATTTCCTTCCAGATGGTTCTTATAGTGTAGATAAAGTGTGCTTATCTTGCGCAACCACGTTTGAAGACTTCAAATTCTATTAAAATCTTTCTAATGCTACTTATAACAAAATAATGTAAGCAATATACGATATTTAAATAAATATTTACATATGTTTTTAAACTTTGATTTTAAACGCTGCACAATTTAAGATCTGCAGGCCGTTGGTTCACATTACGCATACCACGTGCATACGTAAAGGTGGTTATGTGGGACTCACCGACGAGAAAAGCCAGTGCTATCCAGTAAATCCCAACGGAACCTACCTTCCTTAATGGGGCATTGCAGAATCGCTTACGCACTCAGCCATAAGGCCCCTAGAGCAGGTCTGCCGAGGCAGATCACAACAACCAAGGGATTGCTCCAACGGTGTACTCTGTTATATTAATGTGGTAATCTCATGATAAGATCCGAAATATGTTCTTACACTTTAATGCGCTAATATAGCTAACTCTTTTGTCATAAAAATAATTTTTGAAGTGTGTTAACATCTATTTGGGATTTATACCCAATAAAAAGTTTACTAACTGAAACAATGATATCGTACAACTTATGAAGTGTATGGTGTGTTTTTTTTTTGGGTTTTTTTTGTGTAGACGAATTAGTAGCATGAACAAAAACTTAGTTTTAATACACCTTTGTATACCTATTAAAAACATCAGGATACTCTCTAGCTAGCAGTGGCGAAGGGTAATTTTTCTTAAAAAAGTGCAGAAAAAAAATAATGTAATTGTGAAGATATTTTTTTTTCTTTATAAGGCTATTGTGTTTTTTAAATACATGTAAAATATTCTAGCAAAATACATTTAACATAAGTAAAATAATGAAATCTCATAAAATATAGATAACGCCATCTATGAAATCTTACGCATCAGTTTGAATCAAATTTGATTTTATTTTATTTTCTTTACTAAAAGTATATTACAACAAACACAGCACAAAATGTCTATTTTACACTAAAATCAAGTTAAAACTCTATAAAACAAAAAATCTCATAAGCAATGCACTCGTAAACAATGAGGCCGCGCGCACTTGGGATACGTTTTCGTACGAATTTTACTCGTACGATCACGTACGAACACGCACGAACGATCCGCATCTTTCAAGTACTATGGGGGCGCGCAGACTGCGTGCGAGTTAGTGGTACGTATACGTGCGTGTAGTTCCGACGTCCGAATACAATCCGAACTTGTTGGGATTTTAATACGCTTTCGATCGTTAAAAATTAAAAATAGGTGTAGAAAAATTTATAAACTTAGTTTATAAACATAAATGTTTGTTTCTTCATACGTGCATAACCATGAAACAGTATGTGGTAATTATATGAGTCTTCCATAATATGATGGAATTCACCGAAATCACGTATTTTTGAATATATTTCACGCACCCATTTGGAGTACTCCGAGTACTAGAGAATTATCTTGAAGATTATTCATCGCGCTCCAAAGAGGACTTCACAAGTGCGATATCACTGGAAAACTACCTATTTGAAAAACGTATTCAATGTGCGCACTCAATTCGTACGACCACGATCGTACGTTTACGTACGATCAAAATTCGTGTCCAAAGTGCGCGCGGCCTAACAATTCACCATATTAATTTATATTATTTCATTCAAATAACAAGCTTTCTCGCCTCGCTTGTCATAGGTCAAATCATGTGACGTTTCGTAATATCTGACCAATCACAAACAGGATAAGACGTTGAGAAACAGCTTTTCGAGCAACAAAAATTTGATTAGTGCGTGCATGCGTAAAATGCTAAAAATGAATGAAGTCATGTGACAATATTCAATCCAAAAGTATAAATAAAACATAATTTAGTATGAGCACGGTAAGCTTAGAATACAACGTCTAATCGTCGCATTTCTATGAAGAAAAACCTAAGCAATTTGGAGTGCAAAAATGTATTTTGCGTTTTGCAAAAATGTATTTTATGTGGTGCTTGTGGTTTTTTGCGTTATATTATTTTCAGAAATTGACGTAGTAATAATAATTGATTTTTTATTTACTAATTATGTTAATCCAAAAATTAATATTTAAAATGAATGATTGATTATTGGATTTCTAAAAGGTAAAACACTGCTAGCTAGGTTTTCTTTCTCGCGCGCTCTAGGTCTAGGTCTAGGTTAGGTCTGTTATACGAGTAGTTTTAACTTCTATGGCCAGCCGAGTATTTTGTCCTTAATTTGTCTTTGGATTCGGATTCTCTATTTTATATCTCACTCAGTAAGTGAGCACTAACACTTATATTGAAGAGCACTAGGAGAACTTGAGCTATGTTACTCTGTCTAAATATTTTTCGTACATGGATTTCAACTCGGGTACGATTGAGCGGGAGTTTAAACGCAGCATAGGCCGTTTTACCACCACAGAAGAACCCGTGGCTTCCCTCGCGCTCGAACTACTAAAAAACTCGAAAAAGATAGGTTTCATACAAACTTTCATTCCCTATTTTACCCTCTTATGGCATAATTTTCGAAAAATAGTAAAACACATATTTATTTAATTATATTGAAGAGCATTAATATCAAGTTTCAAGTAATTCTGATCATAACTGTTTTGGGTTGTATTTTAACGTGTTTTCCCGTGGGAACGAGATAATCTCTTGTGATAAAAAGTAGCCTATGTCACTTTCCAGCTTTCCAACTGTCTCGACATCAAAAATCACAATCCGTTACTCCGTTTCGATGTGAAAGAAAGACAAACAAACGAACGAACGAACGAACGAACTAGCAAACAAACAAACTTTCACATTTATAACATTAGTTAGACAACATTTAGAATAGATATGGATTTACGACTTTAATTTGTGCCGCTAATATCGATAGAGTGGAATTTAGAGTTAATTTCTCAGATACATTTTATTTTTTTGTAACATTATTATGCAGTAATATTAATATAACACTTATTAAGTAATTGAAATGTTTTGTTTATCATATTTTCTTACTTTTTGTAATTATGCTATAGGCTGTAAAAGCTATAGGTACATATTTCACACATCCTATGAAAATATAAAACTAAAGAATTGCTCGCGTGTTTATTGTGACAGATCTTTTATTATGTGATGATGTTCTACTGACCGATTCCGGCCACGGCGGCCAATCTCATTGAGACTAGCCAACTGCGCAAGAGATATTATAGTGCACAAGTGTACGCGCAAACACAAGTGCACTCTCTATTCCTGTCACTCTCATACTCCGGTGGGACGACTGCTTGACACGACCAGTGAGAGTTAGGCGCAGGACCGACAGCTTTACGTGCTCTCCGAGACACGGGGGTGAAACACCGCCAACTTCCCAACTCCGGGCTATTACTGAGGCTTACTATACAGAAAGACTCAGTAACTTAACTTGACCCGACCCGGGACTTGAACCCAGGACCTCCGAGTGTGCAGCCGTACATGCTAGCCACTACACCACAGAGGCAGTTTAAATTCTAAATCTTTTATTATACTGCATGTTTAATGGAAAAGTTTTAATAAATGTTACACTTATATTATGTGGTATAAAAAAATATGGCGTAAATTTGCAATTTTTGTTTTGAAGTAAATTATAAAGTAAAAAATCTTAGTACAAGCGTATTTTGTGATTTATAAAATTAATGCTCATTGTAAGAAAGTCTTGTAACATATACGAGTAATTATGATAAAATTGTTAACTTTATTTCGATGATTAGATATTTGTGATAAATTACAATAAAGTAGCTTGTAATTACATACAAATGTATATTCCTTTTAATATTCTAAGTTGGGTCTGAAATTTCTTCGAAAACGACGCTTCTTGAGTATCTTCGTCATATAGAGCTTCGTGGTACCAAGTATATGTGTCTAGAGGGTAGTTGTGGGTCTTGTATTGTAAGTGTCGTAAAGTTTCCTGGAGATCCTCCACTAAGTATAAACTCGGTAAGTAGTTTTAGAAATATAGGTCCTTACATTACTGCCTCATGGTAAAGCGTTTTAGGTTGTTAGTACATTCAAGTCAAAACTAATTACATAAAAACGTTCAACATTTTTTTTATTTTTTCAAGAATTTTAACCCTCTATGTACAAGGTGGGATATGATAAACCGTTGAAAAATGATAATTATTTGATAAATATTTTTATTTGATAAATGTTTTTTTAATAGCTGCAAATAAGATTTAACTTTACATATTGGTGCACTTGTAAAATTAGCTTGGGTGTTATTCTGCATTATATGAAATGAAATAAACTTTATTCAATTAGACTTATTACAAGTACTTTTGAATCGTCAATTTAATGAAAGCGTCAGTGTAGTCAGTCCATATGAAAACCTGTAATGCAAAATTCAGCGGTTTCTATATGGCCAGTTCGTGATTTTTCTGACGAATTATATTGAGTTTTTCAATTACCTTCACAACCACAGCTGCGTCACTTCCTCTTCTTTTGGTAATTTTTATATTTTTACATTTTCTTATGGATTTCAGGGACTACTTTATGTCCATCGAATATATTAAAATCACGATACAAATCTGTAGCAATTAAATAAAGCGATTTGCTGCCAGTATCGAAGGCTCAACAGGTGTGCGACACAATCCCTTCTCTGTCTGTCAAATATGGCCATTGAATCAACCAATACCGAGCATTGAGGCTTTGGTATGTTACATACACTTATTTTACATTAGAAAACAAAAAAGTGATAAATATTCGTACAAACCGACAATAGTAGGGCGAATAATCAATATTTTATCAATCCGATTATCGGACGAATAGCAGCAGCCAAAAAAAACATAACATACATATAACAATACTTCAAGTATTTTATTTTTAATGCCTTATATATGCTATTTATGTGTATTAATAAAAAGAAACAAGTATCTAAGTTATCTTTTACTTGTAGACCTATTATAAATACGAAGTTTTGTATTTTTGTGTGCGTGCGTCTGTGCGTGTGGATTCCTAGGTACGTGTGTGTGAGAAAGAATCTTTAAAATTCACTCTAAGCCTAAATAATATATTTAATTTATTTTTTTTTTGCTGCCATCTATAAAAATAGCTAAAACTTCTGTAACAGTTAAATTAAAACTTAGACTCGCTCTGCGTCTCATTAGGTAAAGAGAAAAATTTGTTCAAATGAAATGATCATTTTGTTATTTGTGGGTAGGTTGTCGGTAACAACTATACCTTTGAGACATGTAACACCTCAGTCTCTCCCGTGACCATGAATGCTGTAAAGCATTTGAAACGTTGGGAACCAAAAATCCAAATAAATCCGCGAAAAAATCCGAAAAGATATTTTTATTTAAAAACTGTTTTACTGGTTAAAAATTTTTACTGGTTGAAGCTTGGTTTCACACCTGAAATACAATTTATGATCAGAATTACTTGAAACTTGGTATTAATGCTCTTCAATAAAATTAAAAAAATACATGTTTTAGAATTTTTCGAATTCATCTTATAAGGGGGTTAAATAGGGGACGAAAGTTTGTATGAAACTACCTCCTTAGAGATTTTTTTGCAGTTTTAGCGCGAGCGAAGCGGCGAGTTCTGCTAGTATTATATAATTAAAGTAAAATACCGACAGTTAGGTATAATTGTTTCCAGATAGTTTATATACTGTATAATGTATATACGGTCTACTTAAGCTTATAAATAATAAATTACCTTATTACCATTGGTATTTATTATAAAAGTTTGTATTAGCATTTTTTTACCATTAAGATTAATTTTATCAAAATAAAAGACGTTTTGTAATGCATATAAAATGCTTCAAATAAGCTTGACACAATGAATATTATAAAACTAAATAAATAAATTATGATAAAATTGCGATTTTATAAGATATATAAACAAGCAGTACCCGGGACTTCACCCGCGTTCAATCAAAAAATCAATTCTGTCAATATTTTTGAAGATCTACCTTTTTATCCATATAATAATAAAAATATCCCCATGAATATGGAGATTTTTAACACACATTTTTCATTTTTCCATATAAATTTTTCAAACATTTTTTCTCACACAAACCTTTTCCTGATAATTATAAACTCAATAAAAAAGAAATAGCCAAATAGGTGCAGCCGCTCTGAAGCGATGTGCGTACATAGGTATATTCGGCAATTGATTTTTATTTATGTGATTAATATTATAGATAATTCGTTATTATGAGAAAATAAATAAGGAAGATTTTTTAAGTAAGATTTTAGTAAAGTTATTTATTTTGACCATCATTACCATCAGTAACAACCATTTGTTCCCTATCCCATAAGAAGGTGCGAAACTATTGGCAAGTATCTGCTGAAAAACCATAGTGCTGAAGTTTTAGCAGTAATAATTCGAGAAGGAGGCAATCAAAGGCACGCGAGTAGTCGAGCAGGATCATAATACTACTAAGAACTTTATCAGAAGCCTCAGTCAGATCATCTGTTATATTAAGAAGTGCTGTCTCTGTGCCGTATCCTCTTCGGAATCCAGATTGATACTTAGGTATAACATCACTTTCGTCTACAAATTTAGTGATCTGGTTTAATACTACCCTTTTTAAGACTTTGGATAAAATCAGTAATATAGATATTGGGCGAAGATCTTTAAGTTTCTCAACGTAGATTTTTTTACTAACAGGTAAAGTAACATTTAGAGTGAGTTTTATCATGTCTATATTCAGGTTATCATGACCTCAGCCTTTGTTTTTGCGCTGTTGTTGTTTTAATTCTTCCATTTGCGTCGTAAGTTACAAAAAGGTTTTAAAGTAGTTAATGTTTGTTATCTATCAGGTTTTTTAATCAATTTCATTTGTAATGCAAATAAACTTAATGAGTACGTAAATTAGATAATAGAAAACTATTTGACGGCCAAAACTCAATTAAATATATTTTTTGTGTAATTATAAAGCTGAATTATTGAATTATTTTATTTTAAAATGTAAATATAATACAAATAACTAAGTACTCTAAACCTAAATCTAATCTAACCTAAAACAAGTAATATTAATTAAAAACCAATTATGTTTGACTCGAGACTTTTTATTGTTAACTCGCATTAGGCATACTGATTAATAATTTGATTTTTCCATTTTCTAGCGATTCATCAAAGACATAAATAAATAAATAAATTTATTGGGACATTAACACACAGCACCATCTAGTTCCATGGTAAGCTACGAGGTTTGAGTTATGGATACCAGATAGTTGATACACTTTTTAGACTAATTTTTTATTGACAATTGCTGGGTGAAAAAAAATACCGCAAAGGTAATTAACGAGATTATACGCCTTTGTTTCCTTCAAAAAAGTCATAAAATTCCTGGAAATGCACGTGTGCGCTTAATTATAGTCAATTAGCAGTAATTAGTGAATATTTGCATAATATGGATTGAAGCCACAAATAGAGTTTTATGTTATTTTAGAAGCTTAGTTTAGTTCCATTAGCTTCCATTTCCAGCTTAGCTTAGTTTAGTTCCATTATTGAACAAGACACTTCTACTTTGATCTGCAATTATTAGAAATACTGCAAGATGGATCTGACCGAGGCTGAATCATCTCGAATTGTGACTTTGCTTGAAACTGAACAAAGTCAACGTCAAGTGGCTCAAGCTTTTTCTGTGAGCCGTTGTTCGGTCCAGAGAGTGTACAAACGTTACATAGAGACTAGTGGATTTGTACGACGACATGGTTCCGGCTGACGAAGAGCAACATCAGAGCGTGATGATCGATTATTGTGTCATCAGCTTTAAGAAATTGTCATCGCACAGGGGTTGACGTTTTAAATCTCCTGAGAGAAGTGAGAGGTGTTAATGTTAGCGAGTGGACAGTAAGGCGCCGACTTAGAGCCACTTCCCTGACGCCACGCAAGTCCGCAACTGGCCCCAAACTCACCCCTGCACATCGAATTGCAAGATTACTTTTTGCCCGAGATCACGTGAATTGAAATTTGGAGCAGTGGAAGAAGGTTCTTATTACTGACGAAAGCAGAATGTGTTTGCATGGTGTCGACGGCCGTAATTTTGTTTACCGGCGACCACGTGAAAGATATGCACCATGCACTATGCGGGAAACAGTGTCATATGGGGGGGGGGGTCTCAGTTATGTTTTGGGCAGGATTCTGTTACGAAGCGAAAACCGAGCTTATATTTATAGAAAATGGATCCCTTACAGCCGCTAGGTATATAACGGAGGTTATAGCAGATCATGTGATGCCTTTTACTGGGTTCATTGGAGAAGATTTTCTGCTTCTACAAGATAATGCTCGCCCACACACTGCTACATCAGTAAGGCAGTATCTTCAAGAGGTCGGAGTGTCTACTATTGCCTGGCCAGTGAGAAGCCCTGACCTCAATCCGATAGAGCATGTATCATCTCAAAAGAAAAGTTAGAAGTCGCGTAGTAGTCCCGAGCAACATTCAAGAATTAAAAAGCGCCTTATTGGAAGAATGGGAGTCTATTACACAAGATTATCTAAAAAAGTGTGTCAAATCTCTGAAAAACCGATTAAAAGCTGTAATTAAAAATAGAGGCGGTAATACGCATTATTAAAAATCATAAAACCAATCGAAATCTTTTAATTTTCCCATTAATTTGCAGCTTACATTTTTATACCAAACTCGCGCAAAATCATTAAATTTGATTTTCCTCTATTTTCGAGCAATAATTTTTATTTAAATTATTCAACGATCATTGATTTAGGTACCTAGGGTATACAGCTACCCATATATAATAACAAAATTAATAAAAAAATATCATATCTTAAGTTTGTCCATTTTCTCTAGAATGCTCGATTTTTTTGCACGCCATTGTGTGTGTATATATATAAAGAAGAGGCAAAAATCGACTATAAAGTTTATGATGATTTTTGCCTCTTAGGCTTGTGCAAATCGGCAGATTATTAAATTGGACACTTTTCAGGATGTGACTAGCCTACCACACCTTAATCTGACGGTTTCAAGTATTTCTACCTTATCAAAACATTTTTTAAATATTTTAATCGGCTTCCCTAGACGCGCCTCTTTATATAGAAGACTTATATTGTGGTGAAAGTACTCAATAGAGTGCAAGGTAACCTCTTTTATGTTAATCTGCCGCGCTCGAGTAACTACAGAAAATCCCCTCTTGGGCTCCCCTACTATATCTTATTCTAATAATTTAATAATGGTCTCTACCATTGGCCGTTAATATCACAGGGTTTGAATGAGAAACATATTTTTTCAAAAGTGGTGTTCCGCAAGGTTCACATTTGGGACTTCTACTGTTTCTTATATTTACTAATGAAAAAACGGAAAATATTAAGTACTATAAATGCGCACTACTTGCTGATGATCTTAAATTGTAGAAAACGATCAAAACAAGTGATGACGGACTTTTAATTCAAGATAACCTTAATAATGTCTACAGAAAAATTGTGCATTCCGCTTGGTTTACCAAGCTGCGGCAAAAATTATATACAATGTATTGGTACGCAATCGTCTTAAATACGCTAGTTCCCTGCATCGTGGTCATTGCCAACGTATCGAAAGCGATCATCACGAAAGATTGGCTAAGTTCAATATTCTTTCCCTCTGTGATAGGCGGGAAATTCTTGACATGAGTTTATACACAATAGACTTTTGAACTCAGATTTAATTGAAAGTATCTCAAAATCTGTCTCCTCCAGAAATCCTAGTAACAAAATCCACAATATATTTCACATATCTAGTGTGATCTAAGTTGCGTAACCACCAAGCCCCTGTTTTACGAATACATATGTGCTAAATATAATAATTTTCAGAAATGGATAACAAACATTGACATTTTTCCCGATTTCTCGTCTGCTTTAAGACAAAAGCTATTAAATTATATTACTGATAAGATTATCAGGAATGTTTATTTGTTGCGTTGCGCTAATAAATAAATAAATATGGATATAACATACAAACAGATTGATGAACACGACAAAATTAAAAGGTTTCCATATTTGCTTTTTTATTGTGAAACACTAAAACCTGTTAGCATACTTTATCTTTATCATAAAAGCATAATTATATGTAAGGCGTATTTTACCTCAGACAGTTACTTTGAGTCATACTACGTGTTGGTAATATGGATAGAGTGAAATTTAAAGTTAATGGAGTTGAATATTCCGGTAAATTTTATTTTATTTAATAAATAGGTAATGACTTACCGTCCTTTTGCGAGGGTGCGCCCCTAAGTATCTCGTAAACCCTATGTGTTTTACGTCATAGTCTGTCTACATACTAAGTTTAAATCTGTCCACCCGTTTTAATGTGAAGGAGTAACAAACACACACACAACAAAAAACAAAACAAAAAAACAAAAAACACAACAAAAAACACTTAAAGATACTTGACTGAACTTTTATTAGATCAATGTAGATCTAGGGCTAGACCTACCCCACACGTTTATGTTGACTTAATTTTTTTAATACAGAATCTAACACTTCACATGAGGCTGAAACACTTCCACCAAATGCTTATAAGATCTTTTCTATTAATTTGAATTTGGGATGTACTTTGGCTTGTTGTTGGGATGTTCCTTGGGCATCGTAATTTTTTATTGTCACATAAGATCAAATTTTTATTTGAAGTCTAATTTTATTCTGTCAGTGAATGTATGAGGTATCTTTTATCCAAAATTTAGAAACCTTTCTATTTGATGAAATGAATAAGTATTATTTTTTATTAACATTAAAGGCCACTATAAAGTTAATTACAACGTGACCAAGACTAAGATGGAAGTCAAAAGTAACAAAAGTAACAAGACTTTCATTGTCACAAAAATAGCTATATTAAAGAAAGATCATAAATGAAAGATTGATTTTTTATTAAGTTGTTTTTAATTTAATTTGATGGGTTGGCGTGATTTTTTGTGTGGAAATAGTTGGAGGGCTGGAGAGTAATATAGACTACTTTTTACCGAAGGATATTATCTCGTTCTCACAGAAAAACACGTTATAATCCAAAAAATATGTATAATCAGAATTACTTGAAACTTGGTATTAATGCTCTTCAATACAATTAAATAAATACGTGTTTTAGCATTTTTCGAAATTCATTTTAATAGGGGGTAAAATAGGGGATGAAAGTTTGTATGAAACCTACTTTTTTTATACAGATTTTTTGTAGTTTTAGCGCGAGCGAAGCCGCAGCTTGTGCTAGTATTATATGAAATCAGCAGTTTCATTGTAAAACTAAGAAAAAAATATACTCGTTATTACTTTCTTAGTTTAATTTTTTTTTGTAGTATTTCACATACGAGTAAATATCTAATTAAAAATAATATTTCCTTTAATAATAATTTAAGTTGGGTCTGAAGTTTCTTCGACGACGACACTTCTTGAGTATCTTCGTCATAACTTAGAGCTTCGTGGTACCAAGTATATGTGTCTAGAGGGTGGCTGTGGGTCTTGTATTGTAAGTGTCGTAAAGATTCCTGGAGGTGATCCTTTAAGTATAAACTCGGTAAGAAATATTATAAAATATATAAATGTCTTAATTAAGTCTTTATGATAAAATGTATTGATTTTTATTTGATTGAAGCCATTGTAAAATAAAATCGATTTTACATATTAATATAATTTCCACATTCAATTAAAATGGTATTTCCTAATGCAAGGTAGTTTAAGCAAAAAGTCTTACTACTAAAAATCAGAAAATATTTTTCCAAAAACCTACTTGTCACCTTTTTTATATGACCTCCAAAGTATTTTAATGTTGGATAATTATAATGCTTTTCTTAGAGATTATTTTACCAGTTACTTCTTAAGTTTCTTTTACCATTTGTTCTTAGTCTGTAGCAGTTTCCCTTTGAATTAATAGCTTACGGCATAGATCGTTGAATTTAAATAAAAAAAATATTTTTTTTAATATAAGAAATATTTTATGACTTTATTGCAGTAATAAATATTTTTATTCAAATGTTGATTTCATGTTATTACTAGATAGAATTTGTTATACTTTGCTATAAGTTATTGTGTTGGTAAAATTATATAAACATAATCAGAATAAAATATGATCTCTTAGTGTTATTTTCCTGCTTGACACATATTAAAAAAACATTAAATAATAAAATTAATATTTGTAATACCAATATTTGAAGAGGAAAAGTGAAAATGAAATAAGCACAAATAAAATGAAATGATTTAAAATGAAAAGTAAAGTTTTTATGCAATTTATAGTGCTTGGTACCAATAACATCATGTCAAGATTGGGATATTAAAACGATAGAAGAAATTGGCAATCGCTTAGAAGGCTACCACCCTATACAAAAAGTCTTAGCACAGAATCATGGTTCTCAATGTGGGTATTGTTCTCCAGGGTGGATAATGGCATTTTATAGGTGAGTTATTCATAATTACAATGTGAAATGGTCAGTGTTATAATTTTTAAATATTAATTTAATATTTTAACCACACATATTTTTAGTCTGCTTCAAAGTAAAAAGCCAACAATGCTGGAAATAGAGCAACATTTTGGAGGCAATGTTTGTAGATGTACTGGATACAGACCAATTTTAGAGGCTTTTAAAAAATTTGCGTCTGATGTTCCTAATTCTGATATATTAGACATTGAAGATTTAAAAATATGTTACAAAAATAAGGAAACCTGTTCAGAAAAGAAATGTTCAGATTCAGATTGGTGTTTTGTATCAAAGAGTGATGTCTTCACGAAAACGTTACATATTGAATTATGTGATAAGAGAGATTGGTATAAAGTACAAACCTTGACTGATATATTTCGTATATGGCGTGATAAGAGCACACAATCTTATATGTTAGTTGCTGGAAATACTGGTAAAGGTAAGTATTTTCGAAATAGAAACATTATAATATTAAATTCTAGTTACTTTTAGGGTTATTTGTTTAATTTACTTATGACCATAAAATATATAAGGCTAAACATTTTTTTGACGTTATGAAACATGGGACAAAAGACTCTAGTCTATATGCCAGTTTGCTTTTCACTTTTTCTGGCCAAATATCATGCAGAAATCAACGTTAATTTATATTTAAATACATATATCAATACTTTATTAATCTGAATATACATAAATATTAAAAAAAACTGTACAAAGTAGGAAAACTAGCGATTGCTAGTAAGTTTTTAATAAAAGAGAAAAAAAATTGGACATTTAAATTTATTTCTATTTTCAGGAGTATACCCCATTTTAGAATATTCTAAAATATTAATAGACATTTCGGGAATATCAGATTTAAAAGGTTTTTATACTGATCAGAATTTAGTAATTGGATCAGGAAATACATTGACGGAAGTTATAAATATATTCGACACTGCTGCAAAAATGGAATATTTTAATTATCTTAGTATATTGAAAGAACACTTGACCCTAGTAGCTCATATTCCTGTTAGAAATGTAAGTATTGTTTTCGTAAATATATATTTCAAGATATGTACTTATTTTTTTCTTATTTATTTTACTTTAAACAGGTAAACAATATAAGCACTACGTCGATTTTGTGATAGATTTAGCGTAAATGTAATTAGAACTCACTCGATGATAGCCGAAGTTAAGTAATATAAATTTATTCACATTGATAGGAAGGTAGCGACAGAAAATTATCAGTCCTATATTATAAGCATTGCATGATGATTACAAGGAATAATTGACGCTATGAGTGAAACAAAAAATACGGTTACAGAATATGGTCACAGAATATCCGGATATGGGCGACGGTATTGCGTTAATTGGGATCTATTGGAATTGCATGGCATGGTTGTTTTTGAAAATGCATTCATTGTGAAAGATTATTGTTACAAATCTGAATTGTTTTTTTATCCTACTAGGTTTTTATTTATTTTTCTAGAGAGCAACGTTGGCTGGTAATCTTATATTAAAAAATGAGCACTCGGATTTTAAGTCCGATATATTTTTACTTCTTCAAACTGTTGGCGCGGAGTTGAATATTAGTGAGTATTAGGTCTAACTTTTTAAGAAAAGGGCACAAGTTTAGTATATGGGACGCGGCCCCTGGAGAAGTTGGTGGTGATTTTGGATAGGGGAGGTGATAGGAGGGGAGGGAGTTCCAATATTTAAAAATTATTTTGAGGAAACGAAGGAGTCAAAAGTTATGGAGACTTAATGTTAGAACATTTCCATATATTTCTATACCTAAATAAGTCATTACAAAAGATAAACATACCTTTAACGAATATTAAACATCCTTTTTCGTGTAAAATCCATATTTTCATAACAATTGAGGCTTTATTGTATAAATATTCTGATAATTTCACTAAAAACAATAATCTAAGTAAAATTTTGACAAAACTGCCAATTTCTGTTTTATATACCGCTTTCAGGACATAACAGATTGTCGCTTGATATTATATAGTTTAGAATTATCTAATATAGTTAAACGAGCAATTCTCGTATATATATTTATATAATCTGAATCTCGGAATCGGCTCCAACGATATTCATGAAATTTAGTATACAGGGGTTTCGGGGGCGATAAATCCATGTAGATTAGTTTTATGTCTGGGAAAACGCGTGTTTTCGAGTTTTCGTGCGGTTTTTTTTCGCACTATTCCACGCAAAATATGGGCGCTAATTCGCACGCTAGGACATAAGCATCGTGGTCAAGCGGCCAAGGCGCAAGTTTGATAACCACAGATGTCTGGGTTCGTATCCCGGTCGGATACAAAGTTTTTACTTTGTTTTTTTTTGTATTTATTCGAATTTTTAGTTTGTTTTTTTTTTTAATGTTTATTTGTCCAAAAATTCCGAACGAAGCTCGGTCACCCAGGTACTGCATATTAAACGTGAAAATTGTCATCAGACTACTAAGATTTTTCATTCATGCATGCCTTTACTAGTTTTTATTTTATTTATGTAATTTTACATTGAGTTATATAATAATTAATGTACATTTAGCCAAATTCTTAAACCTTGATTTGACCTTTGATTTTATTATCTGTGAATACTTTTCAGTATTTTTTGGCGGGTAGCCACAAAATACCGCGAGGTTCGATAGTTTATGTGAATACGTTCTGTACTCATTAAACGTGTGTAGGCTTTTTTCTCATATTATTTTCCAGTAGTTATTAGTTTTTGTTAATTTTCGTATAAGTTCGTTTCTAGTTGTTTGTTTTAATAGTATGACTATAGCTTTAAGTGTTCTTAGTATTTTAAGCGTACTCATGCAGTTTATAAACGTAAATAGACTATTTTTTTAGTCTAAGTGTATCATTTATCTTCGATTAAGTGAAAGTCAGACTTGGATAACGTAGGTTGAGCCCTCTTGTTAGGTCTTTTTTTTATTCAAACCCAGTATTATGCTTTCATTAGCACTTAATGTTAATTAAAAATTTGGTAATACATCTGCCTCATTATTTGAAGATCATTTTGGCACTTGGAAGTGATATTTTGACATTTTCAAGTGTCAAAATAGCAGTTATGTCATAATAATGTATGGAAATGTTGTAACTTAAAATTAACAGATTTCGAAATTACCGCTCAATTTCATTCGTGTCTTCCTCATAAAATATGACACTGGCAGAATGGATTGCGTCTGTTAACGCAACTATAAGCCATTATAGAACAAAAATGTTGTAACTTTAAGTCTCAATAACTTTGACGTTTTCATTTCCGCAAAATAAATTTTATATATTTGGACTTCTTATCGTCTCCCCTATCCAAAAACACCACCCACTCCTCCATGGTCCGCGTCCCATATACTTAACTGCAGCTAAGAAAAGTATCAGTCTACCAATAATTTTACTTTTACATAATTTCTGTATTGTATTATAATAAGGAAATTCATATGTAGGATATAGTTTTTTTATATAAGTAACCAGTATTCGTTTTAGTGGTAGCCCTGGGGATAACTAAAAGATTCACGATGGAAAATTTTCTTAAGGAAAATATGAGAAGAAAGATAATCATTTCCATCGTCTTGCCACCATTAAGTAATGCTCATAAATTAGTTACTTATAAGGTATTTTTATTTTTAATATCACTCATACTATAATATATAGTATACTACGTAATACTATGTTATATACTGGTTTTAGATAATGCCTCGATCCCAAAACGCTCACGCACTTATCAACGCTGGATTTTTATATAAACTCAACGAATCTAATACTGTAGTAACATGTAGAATTGTATTTGGTGGTTTATCTCCTGAATTCAGCAAAGCTACGAAAACAGAACAATACTTAAATGGAAAAAAATTGTTCAACAATGAAACTTTACAAGGAGCATTAAAGATATTGGACAAAGAACTGATAGTTACTGAAGACTTGCCAAATCCTCCAGCAGATCATAGACGGAAAATGGCTTTAGGACTATTTTATAAGGTAATATTAGAATATACTATAATAGTAAAATATTAGAATTATGTTGATGAGTAGCATTGCCCGCGGCCCGCGTTCTGGTGACCAAAAACCAAATTCTTAGGTTCTACAGATTAGTATACTCTTATATTGCAGTTTTTGCGTTTTTTCTCAGAAATGAGATATTTTCACGCGGTAAAAAGTATCCTATATGTTCACCCGGATAACCAGCTATCACCATACCAAATTTCATCAAAATCCCTCCAGTGGCTTTTCTGTGATGCGGTAACAGACTGTTTATTTCAATAAGATTTTTCAAAAAATATTGGATGTACAGATTCGGCTTAGTTACAATTTTATTATATGTATAGAAGACGCTTACTTTCTTATTATTTTATTGAATTCAATAAAAAATAAATAAGTAGAGACTAAAAATTAAACCAAAACCCAAAATCCCTTCTTGGGCTCCCCTACTATATTAAGACAATCAAAACTTACGGTTTTTACCAAACGCCCCTTTTTAAAGAGATATTCGTTAGGAACTGTGTCTCTATGGTTTTTATATATCATTGTCAATAATGCTTGAAGTCTATGACGAAAATAATGGTTTAATGTTTGAAAGTGAAAAATAAATTCAAAATAGCATAGTCGCATGGTTTAATGCCATTAACTTTCCTTTATCATCCACTTCAGAATCAAGGTTGCGTTACGGTAAAGTAACACATTCTTTATTGATTTACTTATTACTTTTTAACCTTTTTTAATTCATTTTAGGGACTACTTTCTCTATGTCCATCAAATATATTAAAGCCACGATACAAATCAGGAGCAATCAAATTAAGCAAAACGCGGCCAGTATCAAAGGCTCAACAGGTGTTCGACACAAACCCTTCTATTTGGCCACTGAATGAACCAATACCGAAAATTGAGGCTTTGGTATGTTGGATAATTAATTATATTTCTTGTGGAGATGCCTTAGGACTTTTTAATTTCAATATAAGCGTTAGTTGTAAAACTTCACTGAACATGATATATAGATCATTCTAAAATAATTAATTTAATCAAAGTAGGATCCTCTCTAAAGAAACTTTTTACTGCAGTGAACTTATCGTGACGTACCAACTGTAGTACAATGAGGCACGAGTTAAAGTACATAGTATGTATAAAGTTAAATACAACAGGTACAATAAATAAAAAGTTTATGTGTAAGTGTAAATTTATGTAGGTATTATTAATATTTAATGCAGCTATAAACTAGCATTGCGACCGTGCCTGGTCTATTGTAATCATGTGTATTTTGTATTTTTAAATTCAACAAAGCTAAGGCTAATCAGCGGTCCTAAGTCTAAACATTGATTACAATGTAACAGATTCAATGTGCGGGTGAAGCTAAATACACAGAAGACTTGCCAAAACTACCAAACGAAGTGTACGCTGCTTTCGTACTAAGCACAGTGGGTTTAGGTACAATCGAGAAAATAGATCCCAGTAAGGCTTTGGTGAGATTCATTTATAAATTTCTTGTGAATTTTGAAATGAAAATTGATTTCCTTCTGATCGTACAATAAACATAATAACATTTTATTATTATGTGTTCATGTTTATTTAAAGATAATAAAATAAGATTTATATTAATAACACCTTTCAGAAAGAAACAGGAGTTATTGCTTTTTATTCGGCATCAGATATACCCGGTGTAAACTCTTTCACACCGACACCAATCGCTATGTTTCTCACAGCTAATGAAGAAGTTGTAGTAGGTAATGAAATTAAATATTATAACCAGCCTATAGGTATAATTGTAGCAACATGTCAAGACATAGCTAATAAAGCTGCTACTTTAGTCGATGTCAAGTATAGTGAGATAAGAAATCCCGTAACAGATATAAGAATAGCGAAAAATAATCCAAACAAAATCACTCTGTTTTATACTAATGATGCAACGGCCACGGGAAAAGATATTGTAAAAGTTATAAAAGGAGAAAGTACAATATTTGGACAGTATCATTTCTGTATTGAGACATTAGTTTCAATTACTTATCCTACTGAAGAAGGATTAAAGATATATGCAACTGCCCAATGGATGGATTGTATACAGCAAGCGGTATCAAGGATGTTAAAAATACCACAAAATAGGTAATTCAAAAGAATTAAATTTGTTATGTTTTTTTATAATACCACTTACTGATTATATCATTCATTCATATTCATTCATCAATAATTAAATATATTTAGATAAGATCTGAAACCTAAACAAGCTCATGCTAATATATTAGATTTTTAAATTTTTAGAATAGACGTCTATGTTCGTCGTCTTGGAGGTGCGTATGGTATAAAAATATCACGAATATCACAAGTAGCGGCGGCTTGTAGTTTAGTTTCATATAAATTGAATAGACCCTGTCGTTTTATACAAACCCTAACAAATAATATGAGAGCCGTTGGAAAGCGACTTCCGTGTTCTTCCAATTTTGAGGTAAGTATAAATAATAAATACGCAATCGTACATCATATTTTATCCGATAGCGATGGTAAGAGATAGGAAAAAGTTATTATAAATCTGGGCCTAGCGTTACAGTTACCATTTCTTACTTAATTTGAGCAAATAATTTTATTATTTTATATTATATTATGTATATTATATAGTAAATATATGTTTATATTTTTAGCAATATGAAGTTTATAATATTGGCATTAAGATCAATTTATCGTCTTTCAAAATTATTGTTAGACTTTTCAGTTGGTTACTACAATATGATTTACAATTAATTCTTTTTATATTCTACTTTACAAATAATTAATTTCTGAGCTTTAACTTTATTTCATTATTGAATATTATTTCTTAGATTGGCGTAAACAGTCAAGGTGTACTTCAATATGTGAAGCAAGATTTATACTCTGATAATGGTTATATATTCAATGAACCTCTAATAATGCTTGGAGTAGATCAATATAACAATTGCTACAGAAAGGAGATGTGGAGTTATAAAGTTTATACTGCTGTTACGGATACGCCGTCCAATTCGTGGTGTCGTTCACCTGGTAAATTTTATACCGTAATAATAAATATTATGAACTTAAAAGTCTTTAAGATATTTACTAAACGATTTTTATTTATGTAATCGATTTTTTATTAGTGACAATTTCTTTAAAAATGCTAATTTACAATACTAAGTTCAAACAATTTGTGGAAAGTGAAATAATAATAAAAAAATCGTTTGGTAATTATTTACAATAAAGTAATTATTTTTCATCTAATGTACTTACTGACTTCAAGCTCTTAAATTTAATTGAATTATAATCCTAAATCTCACAGGTATATGTTGTTTAGCGTTACTTAATATTGATATTGTTTCTAGGTTCATTAGAAAATATAGCTATGGCTGAAATGATAATGGAGCGAATATCTTATGAATTAAATTTAGATCCTCTCCAAGTCCGCCTCGCTAATTTGGATACTGAAAACTATAGGGACATTATTGAAATTTTAGATACACTCAAGCGTAATTCCCAATATGAAGAAAGAAATAATGCGGTTGAAAAATTTAATAGAGAAAACATGTGGAAGAAACGAGGTCTAAGATTTTCGTTTCTTAGATGGACTCCGACTGGTGGTCAATATTTAGACATAATTTTATCAGTTTTCAACGATGACGGATCCGTTGCAATATCACATGGTGGAATTGAAATGGGACAGGGTATTAATACTAGAGCTACGCAAGTATGTGCCTATTTATTAAATATACCCGTTGAAAAAGTTCAAATAAAAGCAAATGATACATTAAAGTCACCTAATGGCTTACCAACAGGTGGAAGTATAACGTCCCAGAATATAACTGTCGCTGTTAGAAAATGTTGTATGGAACTGTTAGACAGACTAAAACCAATAAAAGAACAAATGAATAATCCAACATGGGAACAGTTAATCAAAAAAGCGTATGAGATGAAAATCAATTTGCAAGCGCAGGGATTTGTTAATTTAGAAGATGTTGTTCCATATAACATTTACGGTATTACATTAGCAGAAGTCGAAATAGATGTATTGTCTGGAGAATTTCAAATGATAAGAATTGATTTGATTGAAGATTGTGGTCAGAGTGTCAATCCTAAACTTGATATTGGTCAAGTAAGTATCTTTAAATTGATATTTTCATATAAAAATCTAAATTAAAAAACACGCTCGCTTGGGAGACCGACTGAAGTGGTTTCAAATCCCGGGTCTCGCACCCTTGATATTTTCATGTCTAAATCATTACTAACATGATTACTACTTGCCTTACTTTGAAGGAGAACATCGTGAAGAAACCTGCATGTCTGAGAGAACCTAGCGAGTGTTTAAAAGATATGTGAAGTCCGCCAAACCGCACTTGGCCAGCGGGAGGCCCGTGCCCAGCAGTGGGACGCTAAAAAGAGCTGAATACACAATATGTATGTATAATGTATACGATAAGATATACATATATTATTTTTTACAGATTGAGGGAGCATTTACTATGGGAGTTGGTTATTTTACCACTGAGCAATTAGTATTCGACCCTAAAACAGGCGAATTATTAACAAATCGTACTTGGGACTATTGGGTACCACAAGCGTTGGATATACCTCAAGATTTAAGGATATATTTAAGAAAACGGTCTTATAGCTCAGATCTTATATTTGGTTCAAAAGGTAGTTTTCATAAAATTTTAAATGGTACACATAATATGTATTTAATCACATTTTCATCACAATGATCTATACTTTAAAAGGGAAAATGATCTTGTGCTTTGTAGTTTATTTTGCCCTATTATTTTTTCTATTTCACTTTATGTAGCACCTTGCGCTAAATTAACTCGAAACGAGCAAGCTTTCGGTCTCTTCACGCATTTTATTCAACAATTTGCTCAAGTAGGATCAAAAGGTATTGATGCTGAATAAATGCATGAGTTTTCTTTTTTAATACAGTTTTAGATTCATAGACTTGCTTTTTTTCTGAGAGAATGTTTTTAGCAGCATATGGCTAGATAATGAAGATCTTCAGTAGATGAATAAGACGCTTATATTAGAATATTATGGAGCTCCATAACCGTAACCAAAGCTACTGGACATCCGAAATAAAAATGTATCCGTAACCGAAACCGAATTTGATGTAAAATTTATATTATAAAATGTAAAAGTTAAAACAGGTTTTCGTCCGACACCGAACCTACATACTAGCCACGCACGTTTCATCATTTTGCATATTAATCAGTCATATTGCAATATCAAATGATAAAACACAAAATAAAGTAAAATCATTACCTATTTGAATTTTTCATTAAAAATGTAATATCCTAATAAAACCTATCAGAAACTATCGGAAAATCCAAAATAATTTCATATCTGAAACCAGTATCTTATTATTCATGTGATCCTGGAAATATTTCATATTTTATACGAATGTGTTGATGCTTATCTAGTCCAAATTGGTTTCTTTAATTACGCTTCTCTATGGTTTTTTAAATATAAATATAGTTTCGATTCATAGGTATTACTTATTTTTAAATGCCTAATCTTTGTAAATTTTGCTAGTAACATTATAAAATTTTAGCAACGGGAGAACCAGCCACGTGCATGGGAATAGTAGTATCGTTTGCACTTCGACACGCTATCACAGCAGCTCGAATGGAATCCGGCATCTCTCCAACGGAATGGTTTCAAATAGGTATTGTAACGAAATTATATGTATTTATAACTTAAATGTAGCCTTTTGCCAATATAGTTAACTTTTACAAATGTCACCCAATATTAATAAACTAGCGGCTCACCCTCGCTTCGCTCGGGTTCGTCGCTAGGTACGTTTTAAATAGATATAAAAAGAAAAAATCTTTCTTTCTCACATTTTAATTATATGTTTTAATACTTACCTATTCCGGACTAAGAGAAATCCAAAAATTAAAATATCATAAAAATTGGAACGCGGTCGAACGGGATAAAAAGTATCCTATGTCCTTCTCCTGGCTCTAAACTACCTCCCTGCCAATTTTCAGCTAAATCGGTTCAGCCGTTCTTGAGTTATAAGCGAAGTAACTAACACGACTTTCTTTTATATATATAGATTAATAACATAATAAATGAATGACACACACATAAACACAAACACGCGTATGTGCGCTCACATGCACGCACGAGCACACGCTTATACATAGAAATACACACACCAATATATGTAGATACACACGATTTTTGCGTGTTTCGCTTCTTACTAGGCAGATAATATATGAGATTTTGTTATAACTGTACAAGCTTTCAGTAATACTGGACCAGTGTTCAGCTTTACTGAAAAACTGAAATTGACACTAGATCACAATGCACACCATTGTATTGTAGTATCAATACACAACATTGACTTGAATTATATGACTAAAAACTGAAAAAAAAGACTTACGAATCCGAAATGAAATAATCTAATGCCAGTTTCTTTTTCAGACGGTCCCTTCACTGTGGATAGAATATGCTACTCTAGTGCTTCATTGATTGAAAATTTCAAATTTTACTAAGAAGTGAATAAAACATTTGCTTGTAACTATTTCTTCAATAAGCTGCTTAAGCTTTAATAATTATGAGTTACGAAGCGGTACTTTATTAGTTGAAAGTTGACAATAAATTGATACAGTAGATTTTATTTATTAACACATCATGCACTTGATTTCGGTTGCTATTAGAATAATATATATTTTAATACATAAAATGTTTGTCTCCAAGATGTATCCTACATAAGACGTTTAAAAAACTAGTATATATATATATATATATTTAGCTTACATGTTCATCTTTACATAGTATAAAATGAAGTCGCTTCCACTGTCTGTTCGCTTAGATCTTTTAAACTACTCAACGGATTTTAATGCAATTTTCAGCAATAGATAGAGTGATTCAAGAGGAAGGTTTACATGTATAATATATGCATATTATAGTACAGAAAAGCTGAGAAATTCAAAGATTTGTATTTCATACTAACCGTTAAAAGGTACCTAGTGTATTATAAATACATGTCAATAATACAAGCGCCTTACCTATCTGTGTACTACATTTCATCCAAATCCGTTCAGCCCCTTTAGTGTAGAGGAGTAAAAAAACACATACCTACAAACTTTTACATTTATAATAATAGTAACTAGCCCGATCAAAAACATATTTTTGAATCATCAATATTGATTAGTAGTAAGGTTCTGTAAAAAACAATGTATGTAATTTAAAACCTTCAGTCACAAAAGTAGATAAATTTAGCCTATTTAATCAATTACCTTAGTTTAAGTCACAAATACCACATATTTTAAATAGCCAGTAAAGACTCTAATTTTGCAATTGCAAATTTATTACAATTTTTGTTTGTTTTTATTTTTTATTTTTTGTTCTATACATGAATGATGGTGTGCAATAAAGAGTATTTAACTTTTGCTGTTATTTTTTTATAGACAATAACTGTTACACCGACTAAAAATACTAGATACTATTGATAATGAGATGTAATAATCTATTCATTAAAAAAATAATACTTAAAAAAATCGATTTACATTAAGTCCAGAATTCCCGTAACAAGACATAAAAAAATATACCTACCTCGTCATTTTTTTCAACTAGAATAAAAATTAGTTACATTCACAATATAATATAAATTCCCCAATATTTCGAATATCTACAATATAAAACAATCAACATATTTAATAAAAATTGTTTCTTTATTTAATCACGTGTCATTGAAAAACGTCAATGAAAAGCTTGACTTTAATAATATATATATATATATATATATATATATATATATATATATATATGTACAGGTTATTATAAGGTTATATATAATATAACCAGTGTTTCAAAAAAGTGCTATTGGATTTTGAAGCCATTGTTTAAAATAAAAACATCGATGAGCTGTTTTATGTTAATAAGAGTTCAATAATTAGAGTAGGTATATTCGCTCCACGCATTTTTATGCAAAACATAAGCCACGTTTAGTAATATGTAAGTAAAAAGAAAAACATAGGAATAACTACTTTTTAAATAAAACCTCAAAATATTTGTTGTGTATACACTGTTTTATTAGAAGTAGCAATGATAATGTGCTTACTTAATATTTTCATTGGCACAAATTTAGTATATGAGATACGGTATAATGTCTAAATGTATAGAAATTTTTTGAGGACATGAAGAAGATAGATCATCATTTAGGCTTTACAACCCTCTTCATACTCTACTCACCCTCGCTCTACTCGGGTTCGTCTCTAGTGAAAATTAAGGTTTGTATGTATTTTTAATACGGAATTATAAAAAGATTACAATAATAAAAAATTGACCAAAAACAAAAAAAAATGGGATGGATCACCCTTATCACTTAGGGGTACGAAAAATAGTTTACGTCCTATTCCCAAACCTACTGAATATACACACAAAATTTCATAAGAATCGGTCAAGCCGTTTCGGAAGAGTTTTGTTACAAACACTGTGACACGAGAATTTTGTATATTAGAGATAGGCTATTTACATAAGCTATTTTAAAATCTAGGTTATCTTGCCCATAATCCTTTATTACTTGCAGTACTATATCTTAAATTGAATCGGTAACAGATCTCAGTTTTATATTGAACTAAGATACAATTCTTTTTCTTTTGTTCAGTTTGAACCAAGAAACCTTGATCACGCTTAGTGCTTAATGCTAAATTCAAACTTGGCGACAGATTCGTTTGAAAATTGAATTGTAAAGAAAGCCCACTTATAATATGGTGTGGTACATAGTCATAGCTACTGTAGTTAAAACTAACTGCAACGTTGAATTCAATCATGTCCTCATAATATTTTTTACAACATTAGATTTCCTTCCATTTCCTCTTAGCGAAAATAGAACACACGCCTCAGGTACTGCATGCCATAATATACTAAATGTCATGCTTATAATTATATATTATCCTGAAGTAGTTAAGAAAATTTAAAGTCTTCACATCTGGTTTCGCAAGAAAGACAAACCTTATCTATAGTATATGGGCCATCTGAAAACAAACAGATTAAATATTATTGTTTGTATCTTTGTACATGCTTCTCTGAGTAAAATAAAAAATATTTATAGAATACTAGCGGCTTATCCTGGTATCGCTCGGGTTCATCCCTAGGTACGTGTGTTTGATACTTATTATAGAATAGATAGACTATATATTATACATAGGTATGAGTTTTATATCCTTTTACTTGAGAAATGATTGATTCCCCATACAAACTTCCACGCCCTATTTCACCTCCTTAGAAGATGATTTCCGAGATAAAAACTATCCTATGCTCTTTCCAGGGGCTTAGACTATCTTTATACCACATTTCATTTAAATCGGTTCAGCGGATTAAGCGTGAAAACGTAACAGGCAGACATAGTTACTTTCGCATTTATAATACTAGCGACTCATCCTTTCTTCGCTTCGGGCTGTCCCTAGACAAAAAACAAATCAATCCCACGGGAACCCTACATTTTTCCGGGATAAAAAGTAACCTATGTGCTATTCCACACTATAATCTATCTGTGTGCCAAACATCTAGAACAGTTCAGCCATTCTGGCGTGAAAGAATAACTAACATCCATCCATCCGTCGCGTCGTCACAAACATTAATATTTATAGTTTTTTTTTCTCTTTATTTAAAGGAGCTTTATCACTCGGTGATTATGTTGCCCCCGTAATAAAAATTACATATTTTATTAACACATTTTTAATTACAATTTACACTATAAACCTACTCATGACGTTGTATGGCACTCATGACGTTGTATGGCTATTTATAATATAAACAAGATTAGTCCATACTAATATTTCATATTATAATACTTACTAATGATCGCCTCGTGCTTGAAAATCAACCATAATTCATTAAGTTTGATCGTTATTGAGGTTCTTTTTTCAAAGTTATAGGTATAGATAGCCTATAAAATCAAAAGGATTTTGAAACGGGCCCATAGACTCAGGGATTTGCACGTACAGACAAACAAACTTTTCATCTATATATTATGTACGTACTCGTATAATATTGATAAAGGTTACTTAACATCAGGCTACATCTTTTGGCACTGAAGTAATTATATATAAATAAAATGCGCGAGCAGATTCGCGGGTAAAAGAAAGTCAATAAATTTTGGCTTTCTGCAGTCCTTCTCTGTATAAACTATAACTATGTCAAAGCTCATTCATCATTATCCTCCATACATGCAATATGCTTAAAAAGGGGTGCAAAGTTTTCTCTTCACGTATTAATATATAGATATTTTCATATAATTCCGTGATATTATGTGAGTGGTTCTCTATTCCAAAATAATTAAACAACTTGGCATATACTTTAAAGTAAGTGTCAAGTGTAGGGATTGGGAAATCTTTTCTTACCTATTTGAAACCATTGAGTTGGCGATATACCGGATTCCAGTCGAGCAGCCACTATGGCATGACGAAGCGCAAAAGATACAGCTATCCCCATACATGTGGCTGGCTCACCGGTAACTAAGAATAAAGAATGATAAATGAGTCACCTTTTTTTATTTCTGTTTAGCGGCTATAATGAGTCACCTTACATACATATATCACTGTAATTGTGACAAAATTAAAACAACAAAGTACTTAACATAAATTATACAACATAATCATTATATTATTTTTGTATAATAAGTATAATAATTAAATTATATACCATATAATCAATTTTTTTTTCTTTAAAATAAAATATAATAAATCATAAATTTTTGGCGAAAACTTTCAATAAATGTTTGCCTTCAATTTGGTGACGCAAAATTATTTGAAAATAATATCAATATTATTTTTAAATTATTTCTTTTAATATTCTGCCTAATTCAATGATCAATTTTCAGCACATAAATGTAACTGAAGGATATTTTGATAGGAAAACTTTATTTGGCTTTATTAACATCGGGAACAAAAATATAAAATAAAACCGCGAAGTCCGAAAAGATAGTTTCATTTAAAATGTTCAATATTCACGGTAATTCTAAGAAAGTATATTGATTTTTATTAAAGTATATTATTATAAACCTTTGGCTCCAAAAATAAATTCATCGCTAAAACTTCTGTTTCTGAAGTATATTCTGAAGTCTCGAGGAATATCTCGTGCTTGCGGAACCCAATAATCCCAAGTCCGGTTGGTAAGCAGTTCTCCAGTAGTAGGTTCGTACACTAACCGCTCTGACGTCCAGTAACCTACACCCATTATGAAGGCACCCTCTACCTATAATAATAATTATTATCACATATAAATTACAGTTTAAAATACATGGTATGTATAGAAATAAATTAATTTGAATTTAACACCTCCAGGTAAATTTCTAAGAAATTAATGAAAGTTCTAAGAAATCTATTGTTAACTGACACGCCGGCGTGTCCGCGATCGTGGGGGGATTAATAATATACTTGTAATATTTAAACTTAAACTCACCTGGCCGACATCAAGTTCAGGGCTTACACTTCGTCCTGCATCTTCAATTAAATCAACTCTTATAATTTCCGATTCTCCCGTTAGTACATCAATTTCTACTTCTGCCAACGTTATACCATAAACATCAAATTTACGGGTATCACTAGAGCTAACAAAAGCATGCACCTGTAAATCTACTTCTAATTCAAATGCTCGCTTAATTAATTGTTCCCATGTTGGGTTCTGTAATCCCAATCTCACAGGCTCTAATCGTAGCAATAACTGCTCACAGCATCTACGCACACCAATTGATATATTCTGGCTAGTGATACTCCCTCCTGTCCAAATATTATTAGGTGCCACAAATGTGTCATTAGGTTTTATCACGACTTTTTCAATGGGTATTTTTAGAAGAGACGCGCATATTTGTATAGCTTTAGTATTTATCCCTTGCCCTATTTCTACACCACCAATAGTTATGGCAACAGTGCCGTCTTCACTGTATACCGACATGTTTGTATCAAAATATTGGCCACCTTCTGGAGACCATCGTAAAAATGAAAACCTTAAACCTCTTTTTTTCCATCGATTTTCGGAATTAAAGTTGTCAACTTTTAGTTTTCTTCCTTCATAATCTGATTTAAGCTTTAATGTGTTCAACATTTCAAGCAGATCACTATATTTTTCGGTATCCAAATTTGCTAATCGAACATTTAAGGGATCTGAGTTGATTTCATAAGCTATTCTTTCGATTAATCCTTCAGCCATTGCCACATGCTCCAAAGATCCTAAAGAGGTGAATATATTTAACGTATTTTTATCTATTTAATTTCCTTATATGTTACTGTTTTCAGAATAAAAATATTATATTAACCCTTATTTCGACTAATATTTAAATAAAAATATTTATATTTATATATTTATATTTTAATAAATCCTATTGCCTCAAATACAACTTTGTCACTCACTGCGTCAATCGTACATCACCTAACACAACCCTTATTCTACTTCTTGCCCACAACACCTGCATTACCCAAATAAAAATTTATTGTAATTCTGTTAGGACAGACTAATATAAATCTTTGAGAAGATATCCAAGTCTTTCTTTTGTTTATCGCGAACAATATATATTTGATGCAAGCAACATTCGATTGCCATAACTGACTTTTCACACCAAGATAGTTTATAGTATAATTTACAGCATAAACATAATAAATAACTTACCAGGGGACCTACACCAACTATTAGACGTCGTATCTGTAGTGACGTTATATGCTTTGTGATGCCAAGTGTCATTCTTATAAGCATTAGAGTACACTTCAAGACCTAGATTCAGTAACGATTCATTAACAAAATAACCGTTGTCACTGAATAGATCGTGATTTAAATATTGAATAACACCCTCCTTGTTTACTCCAATCTGTTTATTAAATTAGATTTTTTTAATTCATTCGTATATTTAAGACATATGATGTATCTATTCACTTTTTTGTACCGTGCACGTTGTAGATATAACATAACCATAGGAGTAATTTTAAAAACGGAATATAATAATAATCAACAATATGGCTTTAATTATTATTGTATAGGGTATCAAATAAGTCAATTTAACTAAGGATATGATGAGAAAAATTATATAATACTTTTTTTGGCAATCTCAAATTAAGTAATTATAATAAAATTAGGATAGCAATATAAAGTACCTCAAAATTTGTAGAGCATGGTAAACGTTTTCCAATAGATCTCATATTCGTTGTAAGAGGTAATATAAAGCGACAAGGTCTATTTAATTTATATGAGACTAAACTACAAGCAACAGCCACCTGTGATTCTCGGGTTAATTTAACTCCGTACGCACCTCCAAGTCGACGAACATAAACGTCAATTCTGAAAATAAATTTGTCGATACTTAATATTATAAGGAGGTAAAGTTTGTGGGTTTGTGAGTTTGTAAGTTTATGATGTTGTAGAGGGTAATCTCTAGATCTACAGAACCGATTTAGATGACATTCGGTAAGAAGATATTTTGAGACCTTGGGAAGAACAAAGAATACTTTTTATCCGAAAAATCATAACTTAAGGCGGTGAAAATGGGGATGAAAGTTTGTATTAGGAAGCAAGGTTGGGACTAACCCCACCGAAGCGAGGGTGAGTCGCTAGTAATAAATAGTTTTAAAATTATTCTGTGTTCTTTATGATATTTCTATTAAAGAGTTATTTTTGTAAGTAAAGTTTTCTAAATTATAATACAGTTTACTTTATTTTTTAAACGATATTGGTCATATTTTAAACAGTCTTTACTATACTTTTCTTTTTTTTTGTACTAGCTGTAAGTTAGCTTTATCTATTTTAATTAAAATATATCCTATCAAAGTTACAAATTACATGAAATGTTAAATCATAGCATAAAAATATTACATGCATGAAAATGGGGGTGTTTCAATAATAATTTCTTTATAGTTTTAATGACCAATTTTTAATTATAATGCTTAGAATATTATCTTACCTGTTTTGATTTATGTTCAATGCCCTTGCAGTAGCACCCTGTACTAAGCTTGCCCATTGTGTCGCAGCATATACCTTTAACCCTTCTTCAGTGATATTAGTCACACAAACTAAGGTTTCCATACAAAAGTGAAACTGTGCATATATCGTGCTTTCTCCTTTTATAATTTTTTCTACATCTGTTCCAATCCTTTTAGGTTCAATAGCCATAAGAAGACTTACTCTACTTGAATCTTTTTTCGCTAACTTGATGTCTACTACAGGTTCCCTCATATTACTGTATGTAACTGTTACCAAATGGGCTGCTTTTTCAGCTAGTTCATGAGATTCAGCGACAATTATGCCTAAAGGTTGATTGCAATATTTAACTTCACCATTGCAAAGAAGTTCTTCATCATTCAAAACCGTTGTACCATTTGGTACTAAAAAAGTATTTATTCCTGGAATATCAGATGCTTTATAAAATGCTATGACGCCTTTTTCTTTCTGTAAAATATTAAGTATATTTAAAATATAATTTGGTAATTTACACTTACATAAATATGTTTACGAATTTCAAAGTATAGAATATACAAAAATTTATGAGTAAGTATTTACAATAATGATTTCCAATACCACAATTTAATCAAACTAACTCCTTTTTTTAAATATTGAAACAAATGTAATAAATTTAAATCAAAAATATACTTATAAATATTTCATGAAAAAAATGAGAAAAACCCTTTGCTATTTATAGAAAAATCTGAAAAATGTCTATAAAAACTTACCAAAGCTTCACTAGGGTCTATGCTTTCGATAGTGCCGAGCGGAACAGTTGTAAGGACGAAGGCAGCGTATACTTCATGGGGAAGCGATGGCAAGTCCTCAGAGTATTTTGATTCACCGGCACACTGGATCTAAGTCGTTATATGTAATTTTATTTTATGTCAAATAGTATAGAGCGAATATCACGTCACGCGTAAATCAGCGAATCACTCACTCCGTTCAAAAATGAGCTTATTACCAGGTGTTATGAAACGCTGTCAGATATATAAATATTTTGAACATAACTAATAAATTTTACTTACTAAGCCATCCAATTTAGGTATAGGTTGATTTAATGGCCAAATGGAAGGGTCAGTGGTAAACTCCTGCAGACCTTGCGAAACCGGCCTTGTTTCGTGAAGTTTAATAGCGCCTGAACGATAACGAGGTAGTGACATTTCCAAAGGACACAAGGATAGAAGCCCCTGTTTATATTACAATAATACTAATTAAGAAATTAATTAAATATTCATGAATTATATTTTGCACACTATACAAACATTTATTTACACATGACAATTAATCTACTCTTTGTCTATTTAAAAAAGAAAAGTTATCAATTTAAAAACAAAATAAAAACTCCCACTAAAATAAGACAATGTATGTCGGATATCAAAACTGCGATGTTTTATATTGTAGTATCCGCTCGTGCTAATTGCGCCAAATGCTCTTATTTATTATAATCAATAGATAATATTAAATCTACAAAAATAACAATAATACTAAGAATAGTATCAAGGAATTACCTTATAAAACAAATTTAAAGCCAACTGCCGTCTGTACTCCACGGGGAACTCTGGCAAATGCAGGGTCACTATAAGTTCTTCACTTAAAATTTTTAAGGCACTTTGTAAAGTCTCATTGTTAAATAATGGCTTTCCTACTAAACATTTCTCTGTTAGGAAAGCTCTATTAAATAATGGTGAAAGACCACCATAAACTATTCTAGATTCTATAACTTTATTTTCATAGTCAAGTTTGTAATTGAAACCGGCGTTTACTATAGCATGTGCGTTTTGTGATCGGGGCATTATCTAAAAAATCAAAATAATAATCAAACTTGAGTTCTTATATGTTCCTTCAATGTTATTTGTATATTGTGTGTAATTATATTCTGTATTGTATAAGTGCAGCCTATAAATATGCATACTTCCCAAAATTTCAGATTCTATAGTTGAAGAGATAATGTAGAGAGAATAGTAATTTTTTGGACTTTATATATTATACCTTTATATTATAATATTACATGTTTATTTTTCTCTACAATATAAACCTTAAGCCCTATTTAGACTCTATGACCCTTTTTTATAGGTCCGTCATTGGTCCCTAACTGTAAATATGTTTGTACATATGTATGTTTTTTTCAAAATTATTTTTCGTAATAAAAAAAAATTTCGTCCAATAGAATAAAAAAGTACTTATAATAAATGGATGGATGTAAGCACTTTACGAATATTTTCCTTTATTTTTAAAGAATAAAAACAATATTCTGTCTCTTAGGTAAGTTAACTTTCTTCAATCGATATCGTTATAGAAAACTTAAATGAATAAGATTGATATTGTCGATGTTTTGACATTATGTCATTTTTATAATATACTTTTTAGTTTTTAATTGCCGGTAGCGATAATAGAATGTCATCATATAGCCCAAGAGTAAACCTTCTGCTCTTTTGATTGGAGTTTGCATGAATTATTTTTTACTTACCTTAAATGTAACTACATTGTGCTCTTTACTCAATGGTGGCAACAATATGCTTAAAATAATCTTCCCTGTCATATCTTCTACGAGAAAGTCCAGCATCGTCAATATTTTACTTGATCCATGATCAAATACTACAAAGATAAATATAAACAATGTAAAATTGCTTAATTAAAATAAGCCATCTGCTTACTGGACAAAATTTTGTATTAAAAGTAATATTTAAATAAATATATCGCAGATGCTTAAAATTGAATTGAGTCAAAGAATTTAATTACTAAATATTATTAAATAATAATCTTTGTTTTTATATTTTTTTATCGTCCATGCTGGAACTCCCTAGTTGCCATACATCATCCACTTATAGCCGTCCACTGCTGACTGAAGGACTTCCTAAATAAGTACTAACCGTCCCGTCTAGGGCAGCCCGCATCCATCCGCATCTGTCTAAGCAACCTTGAATTTGTAGACTAGCTCTACAGTAAGTGTTCAATTTTCAGCTCCGTAAGTCATTTCGGGAAGGTCACACTGGCTAAAGACCTGGCTTTAAGAGATTGTGGGATTTATTATCTAGACATAACCTCGCCAAAAGCCAAAGTAGTAATAGCTAAGCATATTCTTCAGTTGGCCTCCTTGTTAAAGTTGTGCCAGCCGTGTTGTATAGTTTGGGTAATGTATACGTATTCCTGCACAACTTCTTAGCACCATTCATGACTATTGATAGTGAATAGCACTACCTTTCGTCTCGAGGATACCAGGTCTCGATGTTATCAAAGGCGTTCTAGTAGTTCACAATTGCTAGGCATAGAGACCGATTATATTCCACTTTTCTAGATTTTTGAAACGTATTGATGTACGTTCAATAAATGTTAATGTCAGATTTACTTGATAAGTAATTTGGGGAAATATTAAACAAAAACTTATAAAATATGTTTTGTTTTAGGTAGCATTTAGCATGATTATTTTTCTAGTCTGATAGTGGTATGATAAAATAATATAGTAATAATTATAATTAAGCTTACATATTACTAGCTCCGCCCCTACAGTTTCCAGCAGAAGGAATACATCAGATGGGAATTCAGGATTTCGATGTTTGACCATTAAGTTCCCAGCTATTGATCCCAACTAAAATAAAATATAATCATCTTTATCAAAAGTAAAATAAAATATGATAGGTAATACTTTTGTCAGAATATTGTTCATTAAAATGTATATAGAAAGATAATTAACATAATACTAGGGAAGTTATACTCACATTTCTTACAGGAATATGTGCTACCAAGTTCAAATGTTCATTAAGAACATTTAGGTAGTTAAAATAATCAAAATTAGCTACTTTTGCGAATATATTCATAGTATCTGTGAGCGTTGTTCCTGCGCCAATCACTAAGTTTTGGTCAATGTAGAAACCTTTTAGTTCTGATAAACCTGATATGTCTATTAAAATTTTCGGATATTTCAATATCGGGGTGACACCTTGAAATAGTATTTATAATGAATAAACGATTACATTACTGTATTAAGATACTTTTTCTATATCGTACTTTGTTCTTGTGATGTTAAAATATAAGGAGTATAACTTTTCAGCATAAAGAATAAAATTGAACCATTGATCTCTGGCAATCCTAGTATATACAATAATTAGTTTAAAATTTAAATGATACAACATATAAAAATAAAATTACATCTTGGAAATAAGCTGTAGTAATATTACCTTTGCCTGTGTTTCCGTTAACCAACATATAAGATTGCAGTCCTCTTTCTTGCCATATATTAAATATATCTGAGAGAGTCTCAACTCTATACCAATCTCTATCATCTTTAAGATTTATATATTTCATTTTATTATATATTTCGCTACTTTTTACAAAACACCAATCAATATCATCACAACTTTTAGAAGAACAAGATTCATTAGTTTTAGCGCATATTTTTAAGTCTTCAATGTCAGGAATTTCGAGGGTATGAGGTGAATCTGATGCAAACTTTTTAAAGGCTTCCAAAATGGGTCTATAGCCTGTACATCGGCATACGTTACTTCCTAACGATTTTTCTATTTCAAGCATTGTCATTTTCTTATTTTTTAATAGACTGAAAATATATTTATAAATAATAATGACGTAGGAAGCTACACGTTTAAAAAATATTTGTGCAGTAGAAAACACATCACTACAAAAGTTTACTTGATTAACATTGCCTTTTTTAGTGCACAAAGTTGTTTATGCTAATAACTTATAATTCTTAGTTACCTGTATAAAGCCATTACCCATCCAGGAGAGCAGTATCCACACTGAGTGCCATTATTTTTAGCAAGAGTATACTGTATGGGATGATAACCAACCAAGCGGTTGCCAATCTTCTCTATGGTTGTTATATCCCAGTCTTGACATGAGGTTATAGACACCATACACTATTATTAAATACTGTTATTTTAAACTAACTAAAAACTAACGTTTTTAATCTCAAATCCATTTAATTTAATTTCATATCAATTTCTCAAAAAATACAGATCTTTCTAAATAAAACAAACATTTGATAAATATACGAAAATAAATTGCATGCAGAAATATTTATTAGAGTACGATTTAACCAATAAATATTATATTTGTACTTATGTGCCTTTTAATTAAGTACTTGTATTTTATATCTGTACTCATATGTATTTGATTTTATATATAGTGATTCTCAACCGCGGTTTCCAAATAGCTCTATTTCAAAATACTGTAAATTAAATTGCTGATTGCAAATTAATCGACGTGACTTACCGAATTGACACTCTGTGGAGTATCCCCGTTGAATTTTCTAGCACTGACGATACAAGCCCCACAGCCAGCCTCCAAACACATATACTTGGTGCCACGAAGTTGAAGCTTATTTCGGATAAAGTCTAGAAGGGTTGTTGTAGAAGCTACCTCATTGCCAACTTATGAAACAAATATTTAAACTTAAGTGGATAAAATTGAACTAACATGAACAGAATTGCTATATACATTGCTGATATTCATATTTAAAAAATGTATAAAATTTATTATTACGGGAAATTTTAAATTCACAGGGTAAGTATAGTGTCAAATTACACACAAATAATATACTACTACAAAGTTTCAAACAAACATACCATTAACTTTTTCAGGGTTAAAAAAATAAATTATAAGCAATTGTCTTTTCTTATTATAAAATTACTTGCACCGCTTGAGAATAATAAAGGAATTTTCGATTTTTATTCACTTAGTTGCCACCTTATAATCTATACTAATATTACAAAGAGGTAGAGTCTGTTTGTTTGTTTGATTGAACGCGCTAATCTCAGGAATTATTAATACGGTTTGAAGAATTCTTTTTGCTTTAGATAGCTGGTTTATTGAGGAAGGCTATATGCTATATATCATCCCGAGAAAAGTTCCAGTTCCCGTGGGATAGATTTGTTTTGTCTAGAGACGAATCCGAACCGAAGCGAGGGTGAGTCATCCTTATAATTCTACAAATACTTATATTTTCCCTCAATAAATCTATACTAATATTATAAAGAGGCAGAATTTGTAATATGGTTAAGCGCGCTAATCTCAGGAACTATTATTCCGATTTCAAAAAAATCTTTTTGCTTTAGATAGCTGGTTTATTGAGGAAGGCTATATATCATCGCGGGAAAATGTCTGGTTCCCGTGGGATAGGTTTGTTTCTGTCTAGGGACGAACCCGAAGAGAAGCAAGGGTGAGTCATTAGTATCCTTATAATTCTAAAAATCCTTTATAATTTCTCTCAATGAATATATTTATTATTAATTTTTCAATGATCACTATTACGCTTTATTATCACACTTATCAAATTTTTGCGTAACCGGAACAGCAGTTATAAAAACTTATATTATACTCTATGACGACACTAGCTACTCGTAAATCCTCTTAAATCTTGTTAAAAATCAGAATCTGGATATGAGGACGATTCGTAAAATGCTTGATGTCCAAACAGTAAAACAGCTTAGTAAACACAATAAATATAAATATTTGATTTTTGATATCATGCAAACAACATTTTTACTTATAATTAAATGCTTTTAGACATACCTGAATATTTTATATCGTTTATTTTAAAATTCACTTTATCCATAGTAAACGCTTTATCAAGTCTAAAATAAAATCAATACTGAACTAACGAAGTTACTTTATGAATATATCTATTAGGCTCGAAGACCAAAAACGGTCACTGCGAAGAAAAAACGCCCACAAAGTGTTGAAGCGTCTTTAAATAGTTTAGAACGCGTTATATGTATTAATTATAGTATTCATGAAAATTCTCAACACAGAATCTAAGCATTTTATATTTAGTGACATGAAAGTGTCGATAATAAATTAATGTTCGTTATATTTTTTGCCTTTGCGTCATGTAAAAGCTCTATGGATTTCCTTAAAAATACCAATACGATATGGTATTTTTCAAAAGAACCAGTGGCAAATTATGTAATAACTAACGACTCACCCTCGCTTCGCTCGGGTTCCTCCGGTTCATATGGAATATGTATACGCTTGACGGTTAGTATGGAATTTATAGACTATATATTATATGATATATAGCCTATAGCCTTTCTCAATAAACAGGCTATCTAATGCAAGAAGAATTTTTCAAATCGGATTAGTAGTTTCTGAGATTAGCGCGTTCAATCAAACAAACAAACTCTGCCTCTTTATAATATTAGTACCTATAGATTTCTTTAAACTAGCCGCATGATGATCTAGCTGTTCATAAGTATTATAACGGGACAATGCGTTATTATGAAACATATTTACTCATTAATGTATGCGGTGAAGTAAATAACGATTAATTAGAACACGTTGATTACTACATACTCGTAATATACAGTAGGTAAGGCAAAGTGAAATAAGGCAAAAATTCAAAATATGTACATATTTTTTACTAGAAATAATCAATTCTGTGATATCGTGTAAGGTTTCGCTATTTTAATGTATAATTAATATAGTCAATTATTGATTATACTGGCCACACTGACAAGGCGAATACACAAATTACAGATACCTTTATAAATTAGCCAGTTAAAAATCACGAGAATGGACAGGCCAGAAAAAAAAGAAATAAGAAAGAAATACAAATACAAATAGAAACTCTAAAGAAAACAAAGAAAGGGGCATTGGTTGGCGAAGAATTAACATGGGTGGATGGATGCTGTCCGTGATTTTAACTGAAAAAAAAGAAAATAAGAAATTGTTGAGTATAAGTGTTTACTAATAAATTGTAACCAAATCTAGTTAAAATATATAAGTTATGAAACATGATGCTGACTTTTCCTGAGATATCCTACAATTGTTGCTTATAATCTTACTGTAGAAAGTTAAAAATCTGGAGTTTCAGATTGTGGTTTCATCTGTTTTGACACTCTCCATTAAATAGTTAAAGATACTTAAAAAAGAAATGTTTGACAACTTAAAACGCAAAGGCATTACACATTTTTTATGAATAAAATTAACATTATCTTTCATTTACAGTCTGTACTTATAAAATGATGATGATAGAAAATAGACTAATAACTACCGACAAATATCCCTTAAATGTAGTAAGTAGAGTGATTTTGTTAAATCAAGTGATTCTCTTTGGCTACTACTTTTCAGAACTCCAGCCAAAAATATTATTATTTTATGTATATTACATTTATTGATCTGCTGTAAGAATATTTTTTTTATTGAATTAACGAACTCTGTATTCACTTATACTGTAATCGATGTAAAGTATTTTTATGTTATACTAGCGGCTCACCCTCGCTTCGCTCGGGTTCGTCGCTAGGTACGTTTTAAATAGATATAAATAGCTATTACCCAGCATTAGCCATATAAATTTTAATATGCTTGTTAAGTATTCTTAAATGAGTATTCTTAAATAAGTATCCTTAAATTTTATAATTTTCCGCGCAATTTTTTAATTTTTTTCTTTCATAAGAACCTTCTTCTGACAATAATAAACACAATAAAAAAATAGTTAAATCGGTCCAGCCGTTCACGCGTGATGGCGTGACCAAGGGAAATAGGGATTCGTTTATATATATATATATATATATATATATATATATATATATATATATATATATATATATATATATATATATATAGATTAAATACATGGATATACTTGCAGTTGCATCTATTTCGATAAGATCTCATTTTTGTTTAAAGCTGGGAAATGTATTGACGCATACCACCTATATACATTCAGATGATCATATAATACAGGTACGTTTGCAAATCAGCTTTCATATTATACATAAATTACAATAATGTCTAAAATAACTACATATATTAAACATTTTTATGTTATACCTTGTTTATTTATATGCACTACTTGTAAACTTTCTCGTTAAATGATGCATAGTTTCGAGTAATTACTCGTACATAAATAAATACTCATGTATAAATTTGCACGTAGTGAATAGGTAATATGGGTCATTTTTATATTTTTTTAGATTTTTTTATACAATAGCTTACATCGTTATATAATTAGGTAAAAAAAATATTCAGATCCAAAAAAAAATAGTATTATTAGTTACAATTGAGCAATTTGTAGCGATAAAATCGATAATGGCTCTGTTATGATATACTCTGAAGTCATGTTCGGTTTGACTAATAGCGTTGTGTTTCAACTGCTTTGAATTTACTAATTATTTATTATTGTTACTATAATTATATATTATAATAAGGTTTTTTACAGGTGGAGCACAGGTAAGTATGCTACAAATTTCCCACCTATATTTGCACTTTTTAATAATTATTTTCTTTATAAAAATGAAATTACATTAAAAATATTAATATAAGCTTAATTAAAAAGCAATAAAGATTATAGAAAAATATATATTTCACCTTTATTTAATTCACACGCATACTCTTCCCTGTTGCGCGCTTTAAAAAACAGTCAAGTTGCAGTAAAGAATCAATAACAGATTATTATATTATTAGACTTCTCATTTACGTTTAATAATAATTGATCTACAATCTATATAATATTTATTACAATAATTAATTTTAATAGTATAATCGATTTCTGTATGTTCGCAATGGACTTCAAAACAGCTAGAGCAATTTTGATGAATTTTTCAGGCAATCTCCAGATTAGCCTAGCGGATGAACCCGTTAACTTTGGTAACGATCGCAAGTTTCAAAGCGAGCAAACCCACGCACACACGCACACACGCACGTGTAAATACAGTAAATAATTTATAATAATAAAATTTACAAAAACCAAAACACAGGTTGTTGAAAAAAAGAAAAATCTACAAAGAGGAATCCTTAAAAATCGATTTATTTTTGATTAATTTTATTTTGTACTGACTCGATAGTTTCAACCATTTCGTATCGATTCAGTATCTCGCTGTGTCTGTGCTTCAAGTATATTTTTTTCTATCTTTATACAAGAATTTCTTATCCTCCAAAGCGACTTGACCGATTTAGATAAAAAAGTTGTGTGCTTATGGGGTCACCTGAATGGTTCTTAAGTCAGTTTTCCGATCAAATGAAGGCCCGCTACTTAGACTACTATTATAATATATGCGCATGTTTATACATATGTATAAGCATGTGTCTGTGTGTTACTCTTGCGTGCTAAAAACGGCTGTACGGGTTTAAATACAAACTAGTACACAGGTAATATATAACCTTTTTTTTAACGTTGGCTAACGCACTTGTGCACGCAGGACTCACGGGCAAAGCCAGTACTACCCACTAAAACCAAACCGAATGGACCACCTGTCAGTGGGTTTCTTGGCTTCGCGCTCAGCCACATTGCTTTCCCACCTAGACAAGAAACGCACATTGGAAGGGAGGTAAACTATGTATAACCTGGAGTAACATGAATAAACATATACTCCTATATACATATAGCACATGCTAGTATAACTAAGACAAGACAATGAGGCTATAAATAATATACAAATAATTCATAATACTTCTAAAAATATTATAAATGTGCTTTCGACTATTTGAGTTTCTCAATAAATATTTAGGCGTCTAAAATAAGTTTTTCCGTCCTTTAGGTAGATAGAAAGCGCAGAATATAATATAAGCATTTTATGTTACAGAACTTTCATAAAAGTACTGATCAACAGCATATTTACTTGTTTTCTTGTTAGTGTAAGTAACATAATCTATTTCCTGGTATGCGAAACTATCTACACATCGAGGTTTTAATTTACATACACGCAACAATAGATGGTAAATTATTAAAAGTTATTTTTTAATCGAGAAAACGTTTTAAAGCGTTAAAACGTACAAAACGAATCCGAGCAGGCGACTGTAAGTCGGCTAGTTGGGTTTATAAATTAAAAATTATTATGAAAATGCCTGATATTATCATACAAGCAATGTTCTAAATAAAATTATTATTTATTGGTTTCCGACGTTTAACGTTTTTAATTTTTTAATAATACATTTTGCAAGAAGCAAAGAGATATTTCAAAATTTATATGTATATAGACACCGTCTGTAATAACTATATAATAATTTTTGAGATTTCTAAAACCTTAAGTCTCTCCCATGACCATGATTATTGTAAAACAATAAAACCTTTTAAAAAAAATAAAAATCGACTTCAAAAAAAAACTAAAAAGAAAAAATAACTAATTGGTAATTTTCATATAACTATACGTGCCTAATCAGATATTATCGGGTGGCACATGCTTCGAAAATATTCGATTAGGTATTTATACATAATATAGTAAATGAAAATTAGTAATCAATATTTTTTTAGTTTTTAGTGTTTTTTTTTTGTTTTTGAAGTCGATTTTTACACAGCCTTATGATTTGAATTAAAAAAAAATATTTTCCTACGATTTATTCATGGCATTGCATTGGATTATACTGTCCAATATTTAATCTGTTCTTTTACTTGACTGGGCTTATTTGCCACTTATGTATTCCAAAAATTCGAATTGCTTTGTAAGTTAATTTTCTGATACAATTGTAACTATTTCAAAATCTAATAAGGAAGAATATTAAAGATTAGGTCGTTATATTACATAGAATAGATTGCATTTTCGCATGGAACAGTGACTGATGCTATCCGTATATCTGGCTCGGAATTGCCCTTATTTTTCACAACTATGCTCACTACAAGACTTTGTAGAGTTATTTTCTATCTTATATAATATATCTCCTTGGCATAAAAAATTAAGTAATCATATATTCTGTCAAATAAAAAAGCTTTCTATAATATCACTTTATTTCTAAAACAATATAACTACGAAATCATGTACACCTAAAATTCAAAATATTGCTTACAAATTTATTGTTTTTAATATTTCTGAACGAGTTTTCAACGAAGATTAGTATAACATTCATCTTCTGGTTTTATGTATACCTTTCCTTCTATCTATGAAATTATCTCTTTTCCACCTTAAGTCTTTGATGTTATTTAGGACTTTGTTCCCATAATCATTATCATGCTTCATTCCAAAACTATCATATGTGTTTACGTTGTCATTTTTTGGTTCTACATTCATATTTTGGAAATATTGTCTGCTGTTATGTATAATGTTATTCGTTGTACTATGGCATTTATCTTCAACTAAATTTGCATTTAAAACTTTTTGTTTACAAGCTGGACACGATCTGTCAAAGTAAGAGCGCTTCTTGATTTTAAAATTCTGTGACTTCGTTGAAGATATCTGCATAGAGTTGCTATTCAAATGACTCTCAGGAACTTTTGTTAGACTTGGATTTTGTTTTTTTGAATTGCGAAAGCTAAATTTTCTCTTTTTATTTTTCTTTGTCTTTGTTTTTTCAGTTTTGCTACGGGAAAAAAACGGGATCTTCATATTCTTTAGGACACTGTAATTAAAAAGGCAAAAGAAAAAATTAGGATAAATAATTGACATACAAATTCCTATGCATGATATTTGAATTATCTTAACGTCGTGATCTTTACATTGACTGCCTCGTTGATCTAACATGTAAGGACACAGATCCAGAGGTGAATCCCGGGTCGGGCCAAGTTCAGTTATTTAGTATTTCTATTAAATAATTCTTAGTAACAACCAGGAGTGGGGATGTTGGCGGTGTTTCACACCCGTACCTCGGAGAGCACGAAAAGCCGTCGGTTCTGCGTCTTAACTCTCACTGGTCGTGTCGAGTAGTCGTTTCACCGGAGTATAAGAGTGACAGGAATAGATAGTGCACTTGTTAAGTTTAGTTTATTTGAGTAAATAATAAGAATTAATAATATTACCATTTTTTCTCAGCATGTGTGCTCTGCCCCAAAGTGTGGAATGACAAATCATTCTTGATTTTATCAAAATTGTACTTATAAGGTTTAATATTTTCATTGTTGTAGGCATTTGGTAACCCATCAACATTAATGTATTGTGGAATTATGTTCTTGTCTTTATACATGTTTATTTCGGGCAAATCAGCTTTCAAATTTTGATAATCTTGTGAGGCGGGTTTAACGAGATCATTTAGTACCTCTCGACTGAAATATAAATATAGCATGTATTAGCAATAAAAATATTGCTTATCTAATAAATCAAGTAAACTTTCTATACTCAGTGTTTAAGATACTATATTATACCCACCCTTAATTTTATAGTTATTTATTTACCTATACTTCAAGCATCATGTACTAGTTTTATTATTTAGTGCACCTTTAAAAATATGATAATATAGCCCATAATAATACTAAAGATATGCTACCATACAGGAATTACCTATGGATCATGATAAAAATTATGATGCAAAATAATACATTCTAAAACAACACATGATAAAAAATACAATACCTAAGGATTATTATGTAAAGGGTAGCAAATAAAAAATACCTTTTATCAAACAAATCTGCATAATGTTCTTCCGCAGGATTGTCATCAGGACTTTGAATGAAGCTGGATACATCTATCTGTGCTAGAGGCTCATTTTCATCTATAATTTCATAATTTTGTCTTTTTTTAACTCTTCTTTCAGAGTTATGCCTAAGATGTGTATTTCTTGATTTCAAAATTTCTTCATTAGACAAGGAGATTAATAATAATAATAAAAAATAAATATATTGTGATTCCATTGTATGATATTTCTATTATATTTTGATTGACATTTTGTCAATAACAAGGAGGATATTTACAGTACGGAGTTACGGAGGATTATACATTATTTTTTTTAAAGTAAAAGAAAGAGGATCTATAAAATTCATTATTAAAATACAAATAATAGTCTCATTTCAAATGTATGTTGCATTTATTGTTCTCAAAAGTAAAATATGAATTGACTTCACTCTTGCATCGCCCTAAACATTGCTCATTATTTCGAAGCATCCAAGCTGTATGAGGTTTGTTAATGGATATTTTATATTAACTAAGCTATCATGTACAAGAACATTTCAGTTATTTGCAATATGGCAGGAAACTAGTCTATATTTCATTAAAATTAATTGTTTTAGGAACATTCCTTTATTACTATTAGTATATTGAGGTCGAACCTAAAACCCTACCCTACGCTCGTAAAAACTAACATAAGAATTGGTTCATAATGTGCGAAGATAATGCGGATTATTAAGTATCATAGACCAGAAATTTTAAGCAAATTTAATTCTTTTTTTAACAGGACACAAGTATAACTAGTTAAAAATAATTTCTATTAGACAAAACATATGTTAGTATATTGCTATATTACGAAATTGTAATACAGAGATAGAAATATATATTGGTATGTTGTACATTTAATTACGTTGTGTAGTACAGACTTATTCCGTAACAGTTATAAGTCATAAGTAACTTATAGTATTGAATTGAACTAAGATACTATTACCTCAAATTCAATTAAGACGCTGACCAAAATTTGGTAAAATTTCATTTCAGCTGTCATAGCAATTTTGGGAAATTCAATGGGGTGTTGTCCACAAATCTACATAATTTATGGGGCCATTCGTCCCTCCTCTTTTATGTCATCTCGTTAAACAAATGGTCAAGATTCGATTCATGGCATTTTTATGTTATGGCGGAATTTGCTAGTTTCTGTGGCTGATCTAAATTATTCAGTAATATACTATAACAGAAAATTATATTATGAAGTAAACTTCTCATACATAACTATAAGTACGTATTGAATTATACTCAATAAAATATGAAGTTATACAAGTAATATAATTAATGTACATATTACTATTAGCTTTATATTCTTCTGTACATGTGTCACTGAACTCCTTCTAAACGGCTGGCCCTTTTTTGATATTTTTTTGTGTGTATTTAAGTAGGCTCCTGAATTATTTAAATTTACAACTGGGCCACATAGGTGGCACTGCAGTTAGGTTCTAAGATTTTTGTGAAGACCATATTCGGGCAAGACAACATCAACGTTATATTTTAATTTTTTAAGTATTTTCATAGCTTGTCTTCCAGTTTTATTATCATACTGGCAAAACTTGGTATCGAGAAGTACATACTTGTTATTATTTTTATGTTAGTAGATATGGACTATATGGCACCATGCTCTGCTATTCAGTAAGCAATGTTCACAATTTAAAATACAATATTATAGTTTTTATCTTTATTAATATTATTTTTTTCTTACGCATTACGCAATAAAGTTATTTATCTTTCTATCTATATTTCCCTCATCAAGATTTACAGTGATTGGTTAAATATAAAATATATACATTTTCAGTTATTATGTGTTTGAGTATAGAAAAAATGAAACATAAAAAAATATATTATTTCATTTGAAACTTTTTTCATAACATTGTTTTTAATAAAATTTGAAGTCTTCAAACTTGGTTGCACAAGACTGATGAATCTTATCAATAGAAAATGGACCATCTGGAATAAAGAAAGATAATGCTCTTGTTAAATATTTGTAAAAATTATGTTTTATTTCATCATTTTATATAGATTTGCTTAGTAAATATTTCATTATATAAAGACACATTCCACAAGTTAAATATTTATAAAAATAACTTTTTATTTTTATTTTTTACTAATAGTGACTTATTATTGCTATGCGTAAGGTCTAAATGTGTGAAAAGAAAACAGATACACAGACAAACAGACAAACATTTTAATAACTACTGTTTTGTGGTCTATATTCTATACATAATACGTAATCATTATTTTCAAAAATATTTCAAGTACTTTCGTTTTGTTACTATTTTAATATATATAGATTATGTTATTACCCTTCTTTAGTCAATTTTAAACAGAGTAAAAGTATGCGGAGTTTTATGTTAATCTTAAAATATTATATCTATATAAAATATATAGATAATATATTAAAATAAATATTCTATACTTTACAGAATTGTATATTCTTCTACTATATTATAATTGACCGAGCGAGCGAAGTTAGCGACGCGTCTCTGCTTCAATTCTGGCAAAATTTGCTTTCCTATCAGTTTTTTGGTACTCCTCTACATGTCGTATTTTACAACGGATCTGAACAAAACTTGGTATACAGGTTTTACGACTTTACGAATTTTTTTTGTCGTCGGGGACTTTTGATTGAGGGGGTGCTTCCTCCAAAAGGGGCCATAAAGGAGGATTTTGAATATATCTGCCTTATGAGATCCGATTTCGATGGTTCTTTTTTTATTTGAAAGGACTTTAAGTAGGTTTCATAAAAAAATGGTGAAGATCTGATGAGGATCTTCGGTAGGATGAACAGAATAGCTCCTCAAAATGTAGTAAATTGCTCATATAACTTTAGTGTTATATTAATTGTTACAAAAAAGTTTTGTATTCGTGGAACCACTAGTATGTAATATAACGAATAATTGAAAATAATAGAATATGGTACTAAATACGCTCACCTATTTGAAACCATTGTGTTGTAGGGATTCCGGAATCAAGTCGAGCTGCTGAGATGGCGTGTCGTAGCGCAAATGGTATCACTATCCCCATACACGTAGCCGGCTCACCCGTTGCTAAAATATAATTGTATTATAACAGAATTTATATTAAAATATTTTTTATAGTTCATTTTAAACTTAGAAAGTATATCAATTTCGTACTCGCTTTTACAAATCAGAATTAGTCTATAATATTGATAGATAAACTAAAAACCTCTTAGAACTAGGCAGGATTTAATGCTAGAAAAGTTGTTTCACTACCTACTGATAATTTAATATCAAATAACTAACCTTTGGCTCCAAAAATAAGTTCGTTATCAAAAGTTTTTTTTCTGAAGTAAATTCTGAAGTCCTGAGGGATATCACGCGCTTGCGGTATCCAGTAGTCCCAAGTACGGTTAGTAAGAAGTTCCCCTGAATTAGGTTCGTATACCAGCCTCTCTGTAGTCCAATAACCTACACCCATAATAAAAGCTCCTTCCACCTGACAAATTTTAGAATAAATCATTATAATTAGAGTATATACTATAATTAATGTATAATCAGTAGCATGCACTAGACGTACCTGACCAATATCAAGTTCAGGGTTAACACTTCGTCCTACATCTTCAATTAAATCAACCCTTATAATCTCGGACTCACCCGTTAATACATCAATTTCTACCTCCGCCAACGTTATACCAAAAATATTATAACTCTGGAAATCAGTAGCTTGAACAAAACCATGCACTTGTAAGTCAACGTCCATTTGAAATGCTTGCTTTATTAAATCCTTCCACGTTGGATTAGTCATTTGATTTCTAACTGGCTCCAGTCTCCTTAGTAACTCTTCACAGCATCTTTGAACACCAATAGTAACATTTTGTGTCGTTAAACTTCCCCCCGATATAAAATTGTTAGGTGCCACAAAAGTGTCATTAGGTTTTATTTGTATGATTTCGACAGGAACTTTTAGGAGATAAGCGCATATTTGAATAGCCTTGGTATTTATACCTTGACCCATTTCAATACCTCCATGAGTTATGGAGATGGAACCATCATCGCTGTAGACTGACATATTTATGTCTAAGTAAAAACCACCTAGTGGAGGCCATCTTAGGAACGAAAACCTCAAACCACGTTTATTCCACCGATTTTCTGCGTTAAAATTGTTCACTTTACTTTTTCGTTCCTCATATTCAGAATTTGTTTTTAATGTTTCTAACATTTCCATAATGTCACTATACTTCTCAGTGTCTAAGTTCTCTAGACGAACATCAAGAGGGTCTAAATTCATTTCATATGCTATTCTTTCCATAAGTGCTTCAGCCTGTGCTACGTGCTCTAAAGTACCTAAAATTAAGCATAATAATAAGTTACTTAAAATAGTTACTATACGAGTATAATATAAGTATAACTTAATTTCTTAGCCGTCTTATTATATTTCAGTGACTAACATGAACAGCTGTACATTTAGAGGACCTAGATTCGAGTCCAGTACTCGACAAGAAAATTTATATGGGTCTCCAAAAATTTTATTAATATTTTAAATAAAACGATCTTTTCGGATTATAATTTAATTAAAATAATCGTTTAAATCTAAGAAAGTATCATAATTTTATTAATAACTAAGTGTTAGTGGTATTACGCCATGGATTATTTCTAGGCAAACTTGTACCTATGAAATTAATATTTCAGTGACACAAATTTCAACTTCCGAAAATAGACTTTAAGAACGTTTAGAAATTTAAAATACTTACCGGGAGATCTACACCAGCTGTTAGAAGCTGTATCTGTAACTGTGTTGTATGTGGTATGATTCCACGTGTCATTCTTGTAACAATTAGAATATAGTTCAACGCCAAGAAGTAATAATGGTTCGTTAACAATATAGCCATTATCACCATATAGATCGTGTCGAATATATTGAATGGCACCGTTCCTGCTGACGCCAATCTATTGATATTAAACAAATAAACATATTAATTTAAACCTAATAGCTGCAAATTAACCATTAAAATGGTTATATGTGACACAATCAGACACAAAAAGTAAAAAGTTATTAAGAGCGTATTACTTTTTTCTTTCATTTCTCTTTCAATTGCATGTATGGTGTATGTAAGTATAAGTTTATTTATATTTATATGTATATATTTATGTATGTATGTATATATTTATGTATGTATGTATATATTTATGTATGTATGTATATATTTATGTAGGAATTACATTCTATATTGATGCCTCCACTCTAAAATTACCTGGAAGCGTTCACAGGATAAGGACGCCTGCTGTACATCTCTTTTTAAATGTGTATTTATCTTTTTTATATATATTTTTATAAGGTGTACAATAAAGTGTCTATCTATCAATCTACATGATGTTTGACATATGATTATATGTAAATACTATTTTTTTAATAAGTTTTTAAATTTTTTAAACGGAAGTCTAATTCTTTTTATAAAACAAAGGTAGCCTAAGTTACTCGTTATAACATCAGCTATCTGCTAGTTAAAATCTCGTCGAAATCAGTCTAGCCGATCGGAGATTAGTCAGAATAATTTCACATGCATTTAGTAAAACGTTTTTATTTCGACATTACAAACATAAAGAAAGACATATGGATCATGTTAAAAAGGATTCGCAAGTGAAAATATCAGAGACTCGGGATTTGAATCCGCTTCACTCTTTTTACCGGTTTCTCAAGCAAGCGCGTTACCATTGGGCTATCACTCTCTGCATTTGCATTAGTGATGCAACGAATACGAATATTCGTATTCGCCGAATAGTAGGTATTTACCGAATATTCGTATTCGCCGAATATCATCATGAATATTAAAAACAAAATATTTATTACTGAACGCAACCCAAATTACGTTTTGGCTGGCACCGTAAATCCGAACGCACCTACGCACTATATATATATAACACTAAAAGGAGTTATTGAGTTCTCAAGTTGTCAATTGTTACTTGTTTCATAATAAAAGAAATCGCATATGCCTGAGAAATTACAAATGTTGTGTTTTTTAAATAAAAATTTGCCAGTAGTTAATTTCAATTTTTAAATATCTTAGTGAAATAGAATAGAGTGTATTATTTATTGCCTTGTTGAGTTATTCGTATTCGCCGAATAGTACATTTGATATTCGTATTCGTTAAAGTAGTATTCGTTGCATCACTGATTTGCATTAACATAACAAGAAAAAGTTAAAAATATTCAATATATGTCTGTAGGCCCATTATATTTTTTGTATAAGTATATTATTATTTGACGACACGTTTGGCTCAGTTAGTTATTTATAAATATTTATAATAAAACTTTATTTATTTATTTATTAACAATATTTTTATTGAATATTTTGAAAATAGTAAAAAGTGAAAAAATGAATAGTAGGATGAAACCCATTGGAAAAGGAAGAGAATATAAAAAAATGAAAGAAAAAATAATTTACGGGCGATCAGAGGTCGGGAAGTGGAAGGGGGTAAGGTTTTAAGGGTAAAAAAAGGTTTATCGTAATTTCTGACAAAACTACAAGTCCTATGGAAAAAAGTTAAATGGAAAAGTTGTGTGTAATAAAAAGATCTATAATCTTTTTATTTACACTTTTTTCACATTAACTCAAAATTTATGTGAAAATTTCAAATAACCAAGTTTTTGGTTTTTATTTTTATCTTTTACAAAAAAAATATCACGTAATTTGCTGAAAACTACATTATTATGTCCCAAACAAATTTTTCTTTAATTACTTTTAATTTAAAATTGAAAATATTTATTTTATACCTTATTTTGAATTAATATAAAAAAAGCATCCTATTTTTAATCAAAAATTCTACCGTCAAAATATCTGCTTTTTTAAAAAAGTCGGTGGGCTTTTGTTCGTTAAAATCTTTACTTTCTGATGGTCTAAAAAAATATATAAATACCTCTTCATATTACTTTGCGAAGTTAATAAATATACGTAAACTAAAACCATTAAAACTAATTTTAATTAATAAAAAAAAACTTACCTCAAAATTAGAACTACAGGGACCTCGCTTTCCAATGGCCCTCATATTATTTGTTAGGGTCTGTATGAAGCGACAAGGTCTATTCAATTTATGAGCAACAAAACTACAAGCAGCTACTACTTGTGTTGCTCGAGAAATTTTATATCCATAACCTCCTCCTAACCGGCGGACGACGACGTCGATTCTGAAAATTATAAAACCTTATTATCAATAGTCATCATGAAACTAATAAAACAATTACTATGATGATTGATATCATAAAAATAATAATAATAAACTTTTATTCATAAAAAGGGAAATTGAATATAGAACATAGTAAATTTACAGAAAAGGCTTGTACAATTCAATTTCAAACAGTTGGGTGAAGTACTGTACTCCTTGCTAGATTATAAATATAATCTGTATTAAGGAGTAACTATAAAGTATCTAACACTATATCATAATAATCATTGTATTTATTGTTGGAATGTTATGGTTATATTATGTTCATGGTTTACGAAGCACCTGGGCAACCGAGCTTTGCTTGGAGTTTTTGGGCTAAAAATACAATTTTCGTTTTATAATAGACTTAAAAACAAAAAAACTAAAAACTTAAATAAATACAAAAAAAAAAAACAAAAGTAAAAACTTTGATTCGACCGTGATTCGAGCTGATTGGTCTTGCGCCTTGTCCGCTTGACCACGATGATTATGCGTGCGAAATTAGCAACCATATTTTGCATGGAATAATGCGTAAGAAAACTGCATGGAAACTCGAAAACCGTTTTCCTAGACATAAGACTAATATAATCTAGAACGATTTTTCGCCCCCGAAAACCCCCATAAATGTTTAACAATATGGCTGTAAAATTGTACTAATTATAATAATTTAAGACAAAATTGTTAAAATTTACGTTAAAAACAAAAATATTTACAACTGATGGTAATTCCAATTTGCAGTAACGCTTGAGTTGTTCTATCTTCCAACTTAACGAGTTCAATATGTATATTTATGTAAAGTAAATTTAACCTATTCATAATCTAACACAATATTACAAATAAATCAGCCTAAATGCTCTTTTATTACGTGCAATAACAGTAACAGGAGTTAATAAATTAATTGAATACAAGTCAATTATTTCCATATGCATTAAAAACAGTATAATTATTACCATATTCAATTATGTTTCAATTTGTGAACAAAATGTTCTTGATAGTTCAAATATTTTTTCTAACTCTACACCACCACTCTTAACCTAATAATGACACATTTTGGTTTCTTTGGCCAAAAAGCACAGAATTTAATCAGCTATCTATTTGAAAATATTTCAGAGTCATAAAAATATTAATTCAAATAATAGAAGTTTGTTTTCTCGTGAACACCACATTTAATCTAACTAGTATCACTAAATAATTAATCTCGGTACCTGTTTTGATCTAAATTGAGTAATCTCGAAACAACTTGATGCACTCCATCCATATATTGAGTAGCTGCATGTATCTTTAATCCTTCTTCTGTAGGATGAGTCACACAAACTAATGTTTCCATACAAAAATGATACTGTCCATATATGGTGTTATCACCTTTTATAATTTTTTCCACGTCAGTCCCAGTCCTTGTAGCTGTGAATGTCTGAAGAACAGTTACTTTACTTGGATCGTTTTTACTTATTTTTACATCTATTACAGGTTTTTTAACATTCCCATATGTAACTTTAACTAGAGAAGCCGCCTGTTCTGCTATCTTGTGACTTTCTGCTACAATGATGCCTAGAGGTTGATTATAAAATTTGACGTCTTTATTACATAAAATTTCTTCATCAGTAGGAAAAAATAAGGTCACGGATGAAATGTAACTATTTTTCCCAGGAAAATCGGACGCTGAGTAAAATGCGATGACGCCAGGCTCCTTCTGCAAAATATACAATATATTACAAACACATAAAATGCAATAATATACATTATCAAACACTTTCATTATATTATAGCCGCAGAAAGTTCCTAGATGTTGGCTTTCTACATGAAATGTCCAATGATACGTAAATAGAATATGAATAATGTAAGGGTGTGATAATCCATTAAATAGGATTTTTCAGTTTACAAGAAAAATAAAATAGATGTTGATGTTTTAGAAATATTAAAAAGGACTTAAAAGAAATATCAGAGCACTCTTTGATGAGAAAGGATAGCTAGTAATGTGGTTATCTTTTTATTTTTCATTGTTTTTTTTAGTTTCATTTCATTTTACTATATTTTTTTTACTTACTTCTTAATTTATTAGGTTATAGCTGTGAATTATCTTTTGCAGTAGATTGAATAATTTATTTTAAGTTTAATAGATTATAATTATAATTAATCACCAATAATTTAAAATAAATCGAAAAATAACGATCCCACGATAAAAGCCAAAATTGTAGGATAAATAAAACGAGTGATTCAATAAACAAAAATCAACCCTTAGATTAGATAGATTATTAGATGGCGGATGACGCGACGGGTTTTACCCTGAAAATCTAAAATTAGACTTATAGTGACCCCCCACAAAGAATTCCGAAGGAAAATTGCTGTTAAAAATTTTTGCGATGATTGCCCCTTTTTTGAGCTAATTCGACTGAGCTACAATCTCTGGCAATCTCGTTCAGACAACATTGTAGGCACCTTAAATTAATAAGTTTAGTAAATGAAACATATGTAGATAGTACATAATATATACATACCAAAGCTTTGCTAGGATCTATTTTCTCGATAGTACCAAGTGGAACAGTCGTGAGAACGAAGGCAGCAAATACTTCACGAGGAAGCGTAGGTAAATCCTCAGAATATTGTGACTCGCCGGCGCACTGAATCTAAAAATCATAATCTTATAAGATAATTCTTTATTGTACTCTACTCATACCCCGTTCAATAGAGAATCGCTAGATGGCGTAGTGAGAACAACATCGCGCTTTGTAAGACCAATTGCTTGAATATCTACTATTTTTATCTATATCGATAAATAAAATAATTGAATGTCTGTTTTTATTGTCAAAATAACAGCCTTTTACTAAATGCATATGAAATTACATACGGTACTTATAATAAACACATTTTTTTATTTTTTTGTCTATGTGTCTGTTTGTTCCGGCTTATCTCCGAAACGGCTAGACTGATTTTGTCGGGATTTTCATTGACGAATAGCTGATATTATAAGAAGTAAATTAGAATACTTTAATTTTAGAAAAAGAATTACTTACCAATCCATCAAGTTTAGGTATAGGTTTATTTAAGGGCCATAAAGTGGGGTTGGTGGTGAATATCTGTTTACCATCTGAAACTGGCCGTGTATCGTGGATCTTAACTGCACCAGATCGATAGCGAGGATGTAAGTTGTCACGGGAATACAAACTAAGAAGACCCTGCAATTATTAAAATTTTAAAATCATAAATTCCTTAAGTTACTAACAAATTAGCTCAAAAGATCAATCTGGTGAATAATAAAAATATTCTCAATGAGTTCAACGGTAATTATAGTTATGTCCTCTAGACCGAATAGCGGTCACGGTGGCTAACTCACAGAGACCACCCATGCGGCCTATTCTCGTACATGCATTTGATGTCATTCTGCAACCGTTGAAGAATATAAATTTAAAAATATTTTTCAGTTATAAAGGTTTTTAGGTAGATTGTAGGTAAAATCGGCTTCTCTGACTGCAAGGTCGATTTAATAATACATTGTAAGGCAAAAAACCATTTTTAATGTGTTAGGTTTATTACATAACTTTAGGGATAATCTCATTTTAAATTACGATAACCGATTCCGTAGCGTCATCAAACTATAATTTAATGAAGAAAAAAGTTTAATTATAGCTATAAGATTTTAAGTAGGTACTTTATTCATTCTTGGTAAGATAATAAAAAAAAATTTGGTAAGTGAATGTGCTTGGATCAAAATGAAAGTGGTTGGCATGAACGAATTAACCACAATTCGTCCATGGTGGTTGGTATCAAAATGAAAGACATTATTCTGTGTTACGGCTAATTTAAAAGAACTTTCTGTTTTTTTTCTTATAATTTCCTTGGTTATGTATTAATAAGTTCACAACTCAGTAGTATTAGTAGTAAAAGTAAATAATTCTTTTTATTTGTTACTTTCATTAGAATTATTGTTTTTTATTTCTCTTTCTAGTCTTTGTATTTCTAATATTTTATACAAGTTTTATTATCAACACTAACCTACTATAAGTCATAGTCTTTATTCTATTAAATATACAAATATACACAAACAAATACACACATGAATATTTATAATAATTATGTAATGATAATATAATACTTTATTATTTTATTTTGTGTTGTTCGTCACTAGTCAGGCTTATAAATAAAATTGATACCAACTTAGACTCTACGTAATCGTTTTTATGATTTAAGTAAATACTAAAATGAAACAAAAAAAGTCGAAGAAACACTTTTGATTATCATTTATTGAGATTTTTTACTGCGTTTTTTACTACTAAGGTATCTGCCATAATAACACATTTGTGCATTCAATATTCATGTTCATTGTTGAAGATTACAGAGTATTATATTTATCGTTCTCAATTTTAATAAGCAAAATAAGAGGGTGGACTAAGCAAAAAAAAAATTAACCAAAAACAGCATATTTTATCAGACAGCTTGTCTAATAAATATATTGTTTAATATGCAATACTTTTCATTCGGTAAGCAAAAGGACTTAGTGCGATCTTGTTTAGGGTTTGAAACAAATAATAAAATAATTCAGTTCTTATAAAATAATATTTTTTTAGTGTCAAGCTTTTGGCCATGGATTCCCATGAATGAGAGAGGGATCAGGCCATCACGCTGTCAATCACGCTGGCCAAAGTCATATTGGAGGAGTTGGTAAATAAAGAGAAGAAAATATTAGATAGAAATTAAAAATACGCATCCGAAGCCACGTATTATGGTTAGTAAAAACCTGTTTGATAAGAATATGACAGGTGATTAACCTACAGATGAGTTATCTTCATAAACTGTGAAATGATATAAACATTTTTATACTCCCCAATTTTTTTTGTAATCATAGGCATATCGTAAATATTATCGCCAGTTCCTTTGGCTTGAACTTGTCTGGACACGCGACCGCGTGTCTTGATCTTTTAATTATAATGTTTTTTTATTAAATGGCTTTGTCTTGAGACTAAGGCCTAAATAAAGTGACTGCGTTTCGTAAGTATTGTCATATCCGTAACTAATATTATGTATCCTATTCAAATGACAGGATAAATAAGTAAATTTGTGATGTTATGTAGATGTTTGTATATTTTTGACTCAATCACGCGGAAACTGTTGAAAGGATTGAGATGAAAGGTGACGGAATACACGTTTATGTCATAGATGAACTCATCAGTAGATAAAATATTTTATGCCGATAACACTTTTCCGTTCCGGTTAACACTTTCAATATATTAATAATTCAAATTATCCTTTAATGCAGACTAATGTTATTATATGTTATATTATATATTACATTCAAGTGCAATAAATTATTTTATTTTATTTTAACAACATTATAGGAATAAATTAGAAGGAAAATACTATAATATTTATTTTTATATGACTATTAATCGGGTGAATTCTTGATTTAGCTAGCACCTAAAAACATCATGTCCATTCCAACCTGAAAGCCCGAAGGTGTAACATCTATTCGTACCTTATAAAATAAACTTAAAGCCAGCTGTCTTCTGTAATCCACAGGATAGTCTGGCAAATCTTCTGTTACAATCAGTTCCCCGTTTAAAACTTTCAAAGCATATTGTAAAGTTTCATTGGTGAACAGGGGTTTTCCGACCAAACATTGTTCGGTTTTCCAAGCTCTAATAAACAATGTTGATAGACCACCGTACACAATTCTACATGCTACAACTTTACCATCATTATCAAGTCTGTATATAAATCCGGCGTGGACTATGGCGTGTGCGTTTTGCGTCCGAGGTAGTATCTAAAAATATAAGAAAATTATTTATAAACTAGCATTGCCCGCGGCTCCGCCCGCGTTCAGATGACCAAAAACCAAATTCTAAGGTTTTAAATATTAGTGAGTATACTCTTACAATGTAGTTTTTGTATTTTTTTTCTCATAAATGAGATATTTTCCCGCGGTAAAAATTATCCTATATGTTGACCCGGATAACCAGCTATCACCATACCAAATTCTATCAAAATCCGTCCAGTGTTTTTTCCGTGATGCGGTAGCAGACAGACAGACAAAAATTCTAAAAACTATAGATTCGGCCACTGTATCAATAATAATGTCTATTTCAATAAGATTTTCCAAAAAATATTTAATGTACAGATTCGGATTAGTTACAATTTTATCATATGTATAGATTAAAAATGTGAACCATTACGCGCTTAAACAACTAACAGATTTCGATTGCATGTGGCAAGGACATAAATTACATCATGAGGACGGACATAGGCTATATTAAAACAATATGTAGCGAAGGCGATGGCGAAGTCTAGTTTTCGTATAAAATTTCAAGACTTAATTATTTAATCTCTAAATGAAATGAAGAAAAATGATAAAAAAAATATTCTATAGGTTTATTTACTTACCTTATAAGTTATTAATTTGTGTGCATCACTCAATGGCGGTAAGATTATGCTCAAAATAATTTTCGCCGTCATATTTTCTTTCAGGAAATCTTGCATTGACAATATCTTTTTTAATCCCGGAGCTATTACTATATAGAACAAAAAATGTAATTTTAATAAAAAAGAAATAAAATATATAACTTCGACAATATTTATAAAATGTAGATCAAAGACCGCTGTTTACAATTGTTGTTTTATAGGTGCTTCGGTACAGATTTTAATTAAACAAAAAATGAACACTTTAAGACGAGTTCAACAAATTACTCCTTCACAGTATTAATTTGTAAGTTTTTAGCAAGAAACTAAGAGCTTCGAACTAAGAGTTAACCGATTTAAGACGAAAAATTAAAACAAGCTTTAAGAATTTTTATAAAAAGTTGTATTTAAATACTTTATATTATGTTCGCGAGAAACACTTACATAAAACTTGCAAACAACTATAAAGAAGCTACTTTTTTAGTTAGTATGAAAATTTTTACATAGACGTTAAGTATATTCTTTATACTATGTATATAAAATTCTTGATTCTTCTCCTCTTAAACGGCTTGACCTGTTCTGTATAGTTCTTAGCTACGAGTATAGTTAGACCCGGTAAGTGGCACTGTTGTCGGTGTTTTTTAAACGGAATTGAACAAGGTGTGTATAGTGAGTTGTGATGAAAATGTCTGTCCTTATCTATACATATAATAAAATTGTAACTAAGCCGAATCTGTAAATTAAATATTTTTTTAGAATATCTTATTGAAATAGTCATTATTATTGATACAGAGGCCGAATCTATAGTTTTTAGGCTTTTTGTCTGTTTGTCTGTGACCGCGTAACAAGAAAACCACTGGATAGATTATGATAATAGTTGGTTATCTGGGTCAACATATAGGATACTTTTTACTGTTGGAAAATATATCATCTCTGAGAAATTATTAAACGCTAAAACGTAACTAGGGACGAACACGAGCGGAGCGAGGGTGAGTCGCTAATAATGATATAATTTTTAAATTGGCTCATCACTTCATAGATTTGACTTGATACAATAATAAAAAAAATTATTATTCTTTTTATTATTCTCTTTTATTATTCTTCGTTTATTTTTGGATATGCCTATAATATATATTATTTGTCTCAACTGTACTTGAGACGAAACATACCTTCTTGAAAAATAACACCCATAGCAGTAGAGTACCTAATATAGTAAAATTTGTTATATGTTGGTGCTTATTTTTACGTTATACTCAGTATGGTTTTTATCAACTATTAATACCTAAAAAATTAAAACATGTAATTTAAATTTAATTATTAATGATATAAGTACACCAAGTAACCAGTAAAGTGATAAGTATACCAGCAGAACCCGCGGCTTTGCCTGGGTTCAAGCTATAAAAAAAACTCTTGCTTTATGTTATATAGCGACTCACCCTAGCTTCACTTGGGTTCGCCCCTATGTACTTGTATAGTATTAAATTATTTGGATATTGTTCATACAAAAATACTAAAATCGTGATTAAAAAATAGGGGGTGAGGGTAGGAGGGTGAAAAATACTTTACGACCAATTCTCATACCTACCAAATAAAAAAAAATATCATTCAAATCCGTCAAGCCGTTTCGAAGGAATGCGACCACTAACACCATGACATATATTTATATAATAGCACTGCACGCGGCTCCGCCCCCGTTCTGATGACCAAAACCAAATTCTTAGGCTTTACATATTAGTATACTCTTACAATGCAATTTTTGTATTTTTTGTCAGAAATGAGATATTTTCAAAGGGTAAAAATTATCCTATATTATATATAAAATAATGTCGACGCCAGATTTCCTATTGTCGACCCTATTGCCTTTAGCATAAAGTGCTTTACTATGAATTATATCGAGCCATACTGTACACTTAACCAATCAAACTTTGAGGACACGTTTGGCTTAGTTTGTAGTTTGTGACCCTACTTGCCGTGCAAACGGTCGCGGGTTCGAGTCCCGCTGGGGGCATATATTTGTGTGATGAGAACGAAGTTTGTACTCCAGTCATGGGTATTTCTTTATATTTATAATATGTATGTATCTAAAGTTATATATATGTAGTGTATCAACTGTCGGTATCCATAACACAAGTCTCGTAGCTCACCATGGAGCTAAATGGTGCTGTGTATTAATGCCCCAAAAAAAACTATTCAAATACAACTTCGTCACTCACTACGTCAATCATGCATAATCTAACACGACTTCGTTCTATTTCTTGCACACGACACCTGCACTAGACAAATAAAAAAGCATTGTAATTCTGTTAACACAGACTAATATAGATCTTTGAGAAGATATTACTTTTATAGATATACATTTTAACATGGTATTTTGTGATTATAGATGTATATAAGAAATATATATATATTATAATTCTTACGTATAACCAGCTGTGCCCCAACAGTTTCCAGAAGAATGAAAATGTCAGATTTGAATTCCGGATGTCGATTTTTGAGCATTAAATTTCCCGCTAAAGTGCCTATCTGAAATCCATAATATATATAAATGATTCGTATTTTTCATTATAATTATTATTGCTTATATATTTTTTATTATTGCGTAAGTACAGGGAAAATAAAATCAGTTATAAATGAATAATCTCTCCTCTCCATACATTTTTGAACTACTGTTATTAAGAGAACTTGTTATTTAGAAGAAAGTGGCAGAAACTACGAAAATTTCAAAGGTGTAGAGATGCCGTGTTACTTTAAATGTGGTCTCATAGTAAAAATATAATACTTTTGTTCTAGGTAAATTGGAATCAATACAACATATGCCATGTTGCCTTCATGAAGATTCTCCATCATCTTTATTATACCCTTTTACGTAACTTATTGAACGTACACACGAGTACGTGTTCCGTGCACTACGCATTTGCATAAATATATTAAATGTTATAAAATTGAAGTATCAGTCACTGTTTGGATTGAGAAAAGTAACTAAAACCCTGTTTAATTATCTTACTACTATTATAAATGTGAAAGTTTGGATGGATGGATGTTTGTTACTCAATCATGCCACTAAGGCTAAACCAATCTGGATGAAATTTGGCACAGATATAGATTAAAGTCTGGAATAGCATATAAGTTATACCGGAAAAATATACGGTTCCCGTTGGTTTGATTTGTTTTTAATTTTCACAGAGCAAGGGATCGACATCTATTCCATTCTAACCGTTAAAATGTACCTAGAGACGAACCCGAGCGACGCGACGTGAGGGCGAATAGCTAATATATTACAAGACGTAATTTTTTTCAGAACACGTATAGGCTGAGAGAATATACAAGTATTTAGACATTATTATGGTATACGATATAAAATTTTTATACACAATGATTACTACGGCATAACAACATATGGGCTTGGATAGTCTTTTGAAGGATAAGATGCTCAGGAAACGAAAATTTGCATAGCCATTTCGATATTTTATAATATGAATATGTAATCTCGTTAAGAAATAACTATCTCAAGTAAACATTTATTTCTCTGGGACGTATATTAAAAGGTACCCTACTCGGTTCTCGTTCTGATTTATTTTAAGCTTTAGGTATTGGACCAACTTTACTAAACTAGCTAAAAATATGCTGACAGAGTTATGTTACGGACAGAAAAAGTACGAAGAAGAAAAAATACTTACATTCCTAACAGGAATATGTGCTACCAGCTTCAAATGTTCATTAAAAATATTAAGGTAATTAAAATAATCATGATTTGAAACTGTTTTAAATATTTCAATAGTATCTGAAAGGGTTGTTCCGGCCCCAAGCACCAAATTTTGATCAATATAGAATCCTTTCAGTTCAGATAAGCCTGAAATATCTATTAAAATTCCCGGATATTGTAGTATAGGATAAACGCCTAAAACAAAAATAAAACAAATATTAATTTATGATGTATACGAAATAATTTGTGTTGTAAAAAGTTACAGATTCATTAATACAAAATTCTCATCAAGCTGCTTATTATAAAACTATTCCGATAGTGAAAATTTTGTTATAAGTTGTAGTAATGAAAATACTTTCTATCAATATACATAATATGTAAAATAATTTACCTTTGCCTGTGTTCCCTGCCACCAACATGTATGACTGCACTCCCCTTTCATGCCATATAACAAAAATATCGGAAAGTGTCTCAACTCTGTACCAAAGTCTATTATCTTTTAAATATATACATTTTAATTCATTATAAACTTCATCTTTATTTACAAGACACCAATCAGCTTCTTCACATTTACTTTTTGAGCAGACTTGGCCAGTTTTGTCACATATTTTTAAATCTTCAATATCTGGTAATTCGACGGGATTTGGGGCATCTGACGCAAACTTTTTGAAAGCTTCCAGTATTGGCCTGTACCCGGTACATCTGCATACATTACTTCCGAAAGATTGTTCCATTTCAAGCATCGTCAATCGTTTTGATTTCAATAGACTAGAAACATAGAAAATATAGAAATTATCACCTGATTAAAAAACTGTAGACATGTTTATCTGTAGTAAATACATGTGTGCTGTTATGTATGCTGCCACATATAAAAGGAAGTATATTTATAAATTCTGAAAGCAGAATTTAAATTTCTATTATCCTATGAAATTCTGAAAATAAAATTCCTACTGACCTGTACAAAGCCATCACCCATCCTGGAGAGCAATACCCGCATTGAGTACCGTTGTTCTCAGCAAGGGTTTTCTGTATAGGATGATAACCATCTAAGCGGTTGCCGATCTTCTCTATAGTTGTTATATCCCAATTTTGACATGATGTTATAGAAACCAAACACTGTAAACGTATTTCCTTATTAATTACTGAAACTAAGTTGGGTTTCATCAACCAGAGTCTGAAGACACGCAAAATGGAAGTATAAACATAAATAAGAAATTAAAATTCAATGTAAAAGAGTATCCTTTGTTTTATATTTGTAAAAAATAATAAAAGATAAGACGAAGAGTATTAGAAAATGAAAGACATATGTAGCCCATTACTCTACAAAATTTTAGTAAGACCATACCGAATTAACACTATGAGGAGTTTCTCCGTGAGACGTTGAGGCACTAACGATGCATGCTCCACAACCACCCTCCAAGCACATATACTTAGTACCGCGAAGGTTTAACTTGTTTCGAATGAAATCTAAAAGCGTTGTGTTTGAGTCCACGTCATTTCCAACTGCAAATAATAATATTTGTATATAATGTCTATATAATATTTGTATATCATATTTCGAGCAACTTGGATCAAATTCTTAATTAGACTTAAATATTACAAAAGCTTGTTTTATAAACGTCAAATTATGCAATTTAAACTAAATTAAGAAATCATATAAGTGCATTTATACGCCGTAATATTCTTTATAGTACGTAATGTAAAATTATCAAAAAATGACATGATTTTATGACTTGATTTCAGTCAAGTTATTAATTTTTTTACATGTATGTTACTCAGTTTCCTACGCATAGCCAAATAAAAGGCTTTTGAATTTCTTTCCACAACTTCTCTCAGACACCAGCGTATTGATTATTCATTCATCTAACTTAATCTTTAATCTAAAGCATTTCATTGTAAGAGGAAATGCTCAGTAGACATTAAGTACTGACATAATGTATTATTAGCAGCATTACCTCGCTTCGCTCTTCCCAAGGTCCCCTAACAATCTTGATATAATTCTAAATGTCACTAAACTTCTCACAAATGGCTGGACCGATTTTGATGAAATTATTTGTACGAGTTTGAGAGGTTCCCTAGATGGTTTATGTTTACAACTGGATCCGGTAGATGGCGCTGAAGTTGGCTTCTAGGTTTTTTTTTACTACGCCTTTTATTTTTATTCAATTCAACGTTAGTGTAACACTAGTTGCTGATAAATTAGTAAATCATGGCCATTTTTTCCGATTTGAATTAAAGTTGTTATGATTTCTGACAATAAACAAATTTTTATACAAATAAAATATAGCTTATAGCACTCGGCGGTGGTACGGCTTCCTATTAGTCACCTGTTTATAATATTAGTAGATTTATAACCTTGTTAATATTAATGTATGTTTCGATCTGACTGTACTTAAAGAAATCTAGTCTAGTATTTCATTTAGTGGATCTAAAAAAATTACTTCTTACGATAAGATAACATCAATTCAAACGTCGTCATAAAAAAAACAACATGCTTATTCTTATTTGATTGCCTTTTATGATGCTGCAGTCGCTCGTTTATATATATTTTTTTTATTGACATTAATATAACACTATGGTTCTGTAAATTATAATTACATATAGCAATAGCTTTTAACCGTTACTTTTTCGGCGTAACTAACTAAAACTGTGTATTTTAAAATTTATGGCAAACAAAATCATATTTTCAATTTTTATTAGTAGCTTTGTGCCAAGAATAGGATAGGTCCCTCGAATGTGTTTAAAAAGTGTCGTGATAGGGGGTTCAATAACGTCTGGCAGTCCAATCGTATGAATTGAGAGGCGGTCGATTGCACTTGAAGGGTCCAGGCAAAGAACAGTGAATGTCACAATATTTTTTTTTGTTATGTTTTGTACTGGTAACAAATTATTGTGTACAGTAATAATTGAATTCCCAAAAACTAGTTTTTACAAATACCAAACGGTTGTCGATAAGAATACGTTTTTATTTTTGACCAAAGCGAAAAGATCTGGGAATGTCCATGATATACCGATAAAGAGGATAGGATAAGGATTGTCCAAAAAGGTAAACAGTTAAAAGTTACTACGAGTACATACTTTGATCTCAATAAAAATATGATAACTTCTAAACTTTAAAATTGTTTTTTTCTCTTAATCTATTCATTAGATTCTAATGATTAGAACATGTCCTGTTCTTTGCCTGTACCCTTCATTTGATTCTTTCTCAGAGTGGAACGTGAGAGCAACCCTCTGATTCTTGTGAAAGAAGGGAGAAGGTGAGCACATGGTTTGTTAAGTGCCAAAAAGATTCAGGAACCGCAGGATGCAGCGCCCCATTAAGAAGCGGAAAGTTTCGTTGTTTTTTATACATAACAGATGGTATGCGTAAATGCATTAATCAATGCTAAAAAATACATTAAGTGAACGTATAATAAATTAAATTCAATTCTTTGAATTTAGTCTGTTACATCATTATGCATCATATGTTAATAATAATCAATGAATTAATTGACTTCCTCCCTTATATAAAAATAGGTGTTTAATATTATTTAAGTTGATAAATCGACTTAAATTATATATATATATATATATATATATATATATATATATATATATATATATATATATATATGACCTACTTATGATAATAAAATAAATTATTTTCAATCATTAACAAAAAATCTGAATAGGATCAATAGTTACGGACTCCATAGGTATAATGTTAATGTACTGTAATCTCTACGTGTAATATCGAAACTTTTATCTTTTACCTAAAAATACTTTACCCATCGATATCAAAAAGAAACTGTTTCCAATTATTATTTTTATATTTTATTTTATTGATTTTGACGGGATTTTCACTGGCAGATAGCTGATATTATAGGGAGTAACATAGGTTAATTTTTATTTTAGAAAAAAAAGCAGGGGTCCGTTAAAAGAAATTAAATCGTATCTAGGGACGAACCCGAGCGAAGTGAGAGTGAGTTGCTAGTTTATGATAAAGTTAATATGTCATTTCCATACAACTTTTAGTTAGCGTTAGCGATTGTAAAATGTTATCTTGTTAGATCGCTTGGTGACGTGATCGAAACAACACGACGCTATTAACGTTAAACGAAGTTGTTATATGAATTAATCGACCCATGTATGACTATGCATGGGTCAATTAATTCATGCTGCTTGCAACTCAGCTGTCTAACTTTGATTTTATAAATTATGCAGTTGTGTAACATTCGACATTTATGTCAGTTAAATTATGAAATCTTATTTATTTTTTATTGCACAAACAGTAATAAAAATATAATATATGTACAGAAAGTGACCTGGACAAAGGTGGACTATGGACTAATCTCTATAAGAGATCTCTTCCATTCAAAATATAAAAAATAAAGTATATAAAAAAAGCTATAAACGGCGGGACACAAAAAGGAAGCGCAAAGAGATAATAAGAAAGTATATAAGTATAAAAATATAAATAAATCCAATATAAAAACAAACAATACATATACACACATACATACATACAAATATAAGCTACCTATATAATGTATATTAAATACATAAATACAAGTAGGTACATATATATATAAAACTAAATATTAATTATGAAAATTATAAAAATATATACATGTATAAAAATATACATTAACATACACACATGATTGTTAAACAGAAATATATATTTTTCAAGTTTGAGCAAGAAAAAATTATCCTATATTAGATACTAGCAAAACCCGCGCCTTCGCTCGCGCTAAAACTACAAAAAAAATCTAAAAAGGTAGGTTTTATAGAAACTTTCATTCCCTATTTTATCCCTTTTTGGGAAGAGTTTCGAAAAATGTTAAAACACGTATATATTTAATTGTATTGAAGAGCATTAATACCATGTTTCAAGTAATTCTGATCATAAATATTTTTTTGGATTGTATCATAACGTGTTCCCGTGAAAATGAGATAATCTCCAGCGGTAAAAAGTAGCCTATGTTACTCTCCAGCCCTCCAACTATCTCCATACAAAAAATCACGCCAATCCGTCACTCCGTTTTGACAAACACACTTTCACATTTAGGTATAATATTAATAGTATAGATGCATTATATATCTAAAGAACGTATCTAGCTACGGGGCTTCAACGATGCAAAAACTCTGCCACCAGTCAGATACCAGAAGCAAGACTAGGTCATACGTAATTTTCAAGTTTAAAATGCAATAGACCTTTAAAGAAACTTACTTTCAAAATGACTGTCGAGACATGAGGATTTAGTCATCGAAACAGAAAAGATAAAAAAGAGGTCAAACAACTACTAATAAGACATTTTTGGTATTAAAATATTTTTCTACCTACAATAATATTAGATTAAAATAATAATAAATAAGATAAACAACTAAATAAAAAAGTACATAATAATAAGATTTTGACAATTTTTTGCCCCCATTTTGACACAAATTAAAAAGGACCTTTTATATTAAATAAAGTAAAATAATTATTAGGTCATATTTTACAAATTTTTGTAAATTGCGTTACAAAACATTTTTACCGATTTTGAGGGATTTAGATTCGATTTCGACTCCCTATTTATCCTACTGGCGTCTACAGCGTCACCGAGCCAATAAAAACATAAAAATAGTCAATTTAAGGCGAAAATTTAGCTGTCTTGGAGTTTTTTTTTCTACCAATCTTGCCGACCGGGGTATCGAATGTTAAATTAAACTCAAATTATCTAACTAACTAAAACGAAAAAGCTGTAAAAATGTATCTAGACTCGCAATAAGTACGAACACGTACAGTGTCATTCTTTATGTCTCCGATTGCATGCATGGTATCACTCGTCAAACATGTTGGGACATTAACACACAGCACCATCTAGTTCCATGGTGAGCTACGAGGCTTGTGTTATGGATACCAGATAGTTGATACACTACACATATATAAACTTTAAATACAACCATATTATAAATATAAACACCCATGACTGAGTACAAACATTCGTACTCAACACACAAATGAATGCCCCCAGCGGGACTCGAACCCGCGACCGCTGACACAGCAAGTAGGGTCACTAACACTGAGCCAAACGTGTCGTCATAAACTGTTTCTCTCACTCTCACTTTTCTTTTCTATTTAACTCTCGCTCTTTTTTTCTATTTAATTATTTATTACTTGGAATATTATAATTATTCGTATACATATATAAAAGCGAGCAAAAAAACCTTTTTGATTTTTTTTATTAACAACAAAGATTGTAACAACTGATTAGGATGGTAATATTATGTGGTGTTATCTCGTTCACTGACGAGTGACGTCCAACTTAATATGTGAAAAATATAACTTAATTACTTAAGTATGAAAAGTACAAATATTTTGATTATGCCTATCATTTAAATTTAAAATAATATCCTTATACTTTGTCTTTTACATTAGATTTACTTAAATCCTTATTTGTGTTTTTATTTTTTTATATAATGTTATTTGTAAGGTTTAGATAAATCACACTGTAGAATAATATGTATTGTATGTACGT